TGGAATAACAAAAAATGTTCATTCATATTATTAAAAGTTTATTAAAAGTTATATTTTATTATATCAATTTCAAAAAATATATAAATCAATTAAATTCAATTCAATTAATAATAAATAATAATAATCAATTAAAAAGATATCCAGTCAGTCCAGTCCAGTCAGCTCATTTTAAATCTGAAAATTTTAAATCCAAAGAATATATTTTCATATAACATGTTTTCTACTAATTTCTTAATGCGGGCTACGTACCTATACGTTCGTACTCGCTTTATATGCTCTATACGTATTATTTTTAATAATTTGATGTTCCGGAAACTCCCATACTGTGGAAAAATATAAATTATTGCATTTTGATCAAATTTCGGTAAAAATATGCACAATAAAATAGAAAAACGTATAAATATGCCAAATAGTTAAAAAAAAACCTCTAAATATGCAAAAATATGCAACATACAATTTCACATACTTAACCACAGTACCTTGAAATGGATTTCTATGTCACCTAACATTAAATACGACTTAGCAAGATTGATATGCAAATGCATGAACTCACTAGCCCTGGTCATTATGTTACTTCACTATAATAGTAGTCACTATAGTGTATAGTAGTAATCTCGTTTTCATATTCGTATGTCGTAGCCCATAGGTACCTAACCTATACTTACAAGGTACACTTTATTTATAGATGGAGGATTATATATTAGTCACTTTCTTGACAATTATAAATTTGATATTTCATTGAAAGTATATTTAATATAAATAAATTGATGATAATTCTAAATTTGATGTTTCATCGAAAGTATATTTATTATAATTAAATTAATTACTATACTAATGGACATAATATCAATAATATATCTTATTATTATTTAACGTAGGTAAAAATGTATAATTATATTTATTATATTGTTATAAAATATGTTATTAGTTTTAGTAATTCAATTTTGAAACTTTTATCTTAAGTATATTTGATTTGCACGAAAATATATTAAAATATAGCAGGAAAAAAATGTCTCATATTATTTCTTATATCTCTCTTCTCGTAGGTATCATCTTTCTTTTTATGGCGGCGTCGCGGAAGAATGCGAAAGCAGTTCCCGCGGCGTCGTCGGTTGAAAACTGAAAAAAAAAAAAAAAAAAAGGTATCATCTTTTTTAAAATACTATTAATAATAAAAATGAATGAATAAAAGTGCTGCAGCAGTCAGGGCCGGATTGGTATGTATCGCCCATCGAGATTTTCACTTCTATAATCAGCCCATTTACATATTCAGTGGCCCAAAATTACGTCTATAATTATAACAAGCTTATAGGTGGTCAATTGTACCTATTTGAAACATGAATTTATTTTCACTCACACTCACACAACCGGCCCAAACTTCAAGCGGCCCGCCTAGATTTTCTCGGTAGCTCGCCTAACCAATCCGGCCCTGGCGGCACTGCTAATTTCCATTGGTACACCGTACACGAGGACAATAATATCTGGCACCATTATTGAACATACAATATACAATATATTTAACATTTTCCGTCCTTTAAAATGTTACACATTTTGCAGCCCTAGGGCACTGGTCCCATTTGCCACCCGCTTGTTATAAATCGCTGATGAATACAAAATAATTAATAAATATTCAATTCGAAATTTCACCCACGCTACCAGTTCAGTGTGAACGAGCCGGCGGTACCGTCACCGCTACCGCCACCGCCACCGCCATCACCACCACCACTGACACCAAAATCGCTACCGCTCCAGTGTGTGGGGAACCTTTATACTTATACAGTTACACATTTACACTATTCTTACACTTAAACTTACACATATGAGTAACCTTGTATTTACCTATTATAGGTAGGTACTTAAGTGTTTTACGCTATTAATCATTTAATAGGTTTAAGGTTACCTACCGTAAGAGCGGGATACTTTACTCCAGGGGTTAAACATTGCTCCAAAAAAAATTTTTATTGATATCAATCGTAGCACATTACGATTTTGAGATCAGAGATTGTAGTTTTTTTTATATTATTCTTATTAACATTACTAATTTTTTCAAACATTACGGACATGAATCTATTAGTTTTCCTCCAAGATGTATATCATGTAAAAAATGGTTTTCAAAAACACAAAAATACATAACGGAAAAGTTATCCAAAATCTAGGGGATTGAAATTTAATTTAAAATGTATTGAAAAAAGACTTTAATCAACTAAAAAAAAAAAAAAAATATATTATTAAATTATATTAAGTATAGGTTCAAATAAGTTATGACACGCAAGCACTAAACATTGCACCAATAGTTATTATATGCATTAAAGTAAGGTAATTTTAATCATTGTGCAATGTAACCTGCAATGTATTTTAACTTTGCTCCAAACTTTTGGAATAAGTAAGTAAGTCACTAGTACGACATTCGGATTTTTTTGAATTGTTCTTACCTCTTAACATCTATACATATAAAACAACGCGAACAGGTAATTTTTATCTTTGTTATTGAAGCTATAGTATAGGTTCAAACTAAAAAAGAAATATATTTGGAGCAAAGTATCCCGCTCTTACGGTATATTATTAGGCACCATATAAAGACGATAAAATAGTTTAATATTTTTATACAATATCGGTAAACACCGAAAGTAGGTAAACTGTATTTTCCGTTCATCAGTCTTAAAATTAATTTTCATAATTCATGGTGACTTTATTTTTATAAAGAAATGTATTTGTTTTCTCTGAATCATGTCGTAAAATCATACAACTATTGAACTATTCATCATGGATAAAATTATCATTTTATTTTAAATATTTAACTATAAATTATATTTTTATAATAAGATATATATTATTAATATATTGAAGTCAACTGAATTAAAAATGCTTGCATAATATGAAAGTTTTTCAGATTTTGTTGATGCTGGACACTACATTTTGAAACGTTTCAAAATAAAACAGTTTATAACAAAATGAAACGTTTCGTTTGAACTAATCTGTATTTCTTATCATAAGAAAATAACAATATTATTTGATAATACAATTTATTAATGTAGTCTGTAGTACTATGTAGATACCACGGACGTGCATACGTATACATACGGTAGATACTATTATAATTTTATAATACCTACCTAATAATAATATTATAATTAATAATATAATATTATTATTGTGTCAAATGCAGTACTGACTACTTAATAAGTGGTTCTAAATTCTAATACAAATCACTATAGTAAAAATTACCGTCATAATAATAATATATATTATGTAGTCAAATAGTGTAACCATAGCTTATAAATACAAAGAAATTTAACGATGTAATTAATAATTTCCAACCGAATTCCTATCTACATACGTTTATCGAATCTTCGGTAATCAAAGAATAAAAACAAAAATATTTACTAATAATGAATAAAAACGATTATTTTAGTAAATACTAAATACGATGATCTCCCGTAGGAATACGCTCTTTTTGGTTGTGGGGTAGTTAGCTTTTTAAAAAGCCACCGACACACAACTCAGGATATAGTGGGATCTCGGAGTTGAAGATTAAAACATCAGTCGGCTAGGTGGGCACTGGGCTGTTTTAAAAAGCTTGACTGGCCAGAACAAGAGTACAAGACGTAACAACGTCGTAGCAAGTCCAATTATTATCGTTATCAGATTAACTTCAATCGAACAATCAAAATAATAATTATCAGTTTCTTGAATCGGAACATTTTTAAATACGTCGTTTGTAAAATTAATAATATTAATTATAATAGTTACAGTTTTTACGCCGCCCAGTCGCACACTCTTGTGGGACTGAGTATAGAAATTAATTACTTAAATACTTATATCAGGTACCTAAATTAGTTTTTACGATTTTCAAGATAGAAATTTGGCCAATTTGTATTCTTGTCTTTACATAGGTGTCTGCTCGTGCATTAATGAGACACTACTCGTAATCGAGTTAAGTGAAAAACTGATGTCTCATACCTATCTGTCGATGCCTCCGCCAATGTTCGTGTAGATGATCCTAAGTTTTGGTTTAGAACGTAAGTTGAATTTTATATCATAATGTTGACAAATAATAAGACTTTCACGACCGCAGTCGATTTTTAAATCTATACCCCATCAATCGTTTTGGTGTTTGGCTCCTGTGGCTCGCACTAACTTCGATCTTGTTTGTCATCCGCCGCCCTAGTTAGGAATTTTGTGTAAAATGTTCACCGATAAATCAACAGTGTCTACATTCCCTATCACTGTGTTAACAAAAAAAAAAATTGGTCGCGTTTTCTGTGATGAACATTCTGCATTGTTCAATGTTTAGTGAAATGTTCGATAATTTTTTTTGTTTTTTTTTTTAAAAATCTGTCTGATAAATATTTCTTAGTCACCAATCAAAGCATAAGTTATAAGTTATTAAGTATATGTTTACCAAACAACATTCAAATACATTTTTATGAAATGTTTATTTGTTGTAGGTACTCAAATATTCTATTGAATTATTTACCAAACAACAGCATATTATTGGTGGCATTTAAATTATCATGATAAAAATAAAAATGTATGTACACCAGTTGCAGATGTCTATACTTTACTAGATTAGGAACTCTGAATAAAACGAATACAAAATGATTGAAGCTCGTCCATTATAGTTTGGGTTGGCAAAATGTCTATGGATGTAAAAATTACTAATTACTACCTAATCATTTAGGTAGGTAACATCCCGAAATATTGAACATTTACATAACCATGTAAATTTGTCTACAAAATGAATTTGATGATGAGTTCCTTATCTAGTATAGTATATATATATCAATATCAATATTTAATAATATGTAAGCAAACTACCATCTTTGAAATGGTTAAATGAGGAGAGGAAGAAACAACAATTTGTTGATAATTTGGCCATTCAGAAAAATAGGTACTATAAAATCCATGACTATTCTGTTTTTAATCAATCTGTTAATATTTTCAGATTTAATATTTAAATAGTGAATATAACAATTTGGTTAGCCGTTTTAATTTTAATTATGGATGATGATAACTGTCTTCAACTGAATGATGATCCAATTCAGTTTGTTCCTGCAAGTGTAAGCAAAACAACAAATGTGTTTTACGATGAGATAACTGGACAGGTAAACAAAACATTTGCAATACATAAACATTTGATAAAATAAGATTTTAATTTTGAAGTATTGATATTCATTACACTTGTTGTTAAATTGATCATAATATTTACTAAACGTTTTTCCTGTAATAGTTGAAAAACTGTAAATAACAATTAATTATTATTTATTACTATTTATGCATACTTACACTGTTTTAGATAATTACTGTTCATTCTGGTGAGTTGACTGAAATAATTGTAACATCAAGTACACGCTATAGAGAAAATATGGTGTTTAAAATAGAAGATCGGGGACCAGTATCTTCAATAAAAATGTCCCTGGACTGTAAAATATTAACAATGATGAGAACAGCATTATCCGTGGTAAGTTTTTGTGTTTATTTAATCATTATGTAATATGTTGACATTGTAATTGACTTTGAATAGTTAGGTAAAAATAGAATGTGTATAGTATAAATGGTTATTCTTATTAAACTATAACAAACACTATTTACATTTTCAATTTATTTTGTTGAAAATATTAATATATTTGATTTTTATTATTTGCTGCATTATGTCATAATTGAGCTGTATAAATACACAATATCTATACATCTCATATATTAATTATAATATAAATAAAAAATAATTTATGTAATATTATGGTTTTCTCCAAACCAAAAAAAAATGTGAATTAATAAGGGTTAGTACTTAAAGAAGGTTGTATAACACAACTTTCTAAGTTATTAATAAAATAAGCTTCTTTATTTCTTTATTACATAATTTTACAATTTAGTTTTATAGGTTTCAAATAGTGAATAAATGACAGTATAAATAATTAAATATTGGAATATTAAATTTGTCAAATTATATTATTATTAGATATACATTATTATGGTACTGGTTTTTTTGTTTTAATTTATTACATAATAGTTATCATTTATAGGAATTAATGGATATTGAAGAAAATACATTACAAAGTCCTTATTTTTTGTATTGCAAATTCAAAGGTGCCAAATTGTTGGGCTTTATTTGGACTGGTAACAACGAAATACTATTAATTAGTGATAAAGGTGTAGAATTATACCAGGTGAACTAAACACTCTAATACTTTAAACTTATTTAAATCATGCTTATTTAATTTCTTTATTTAGGTTGAAGGCCATGGACCTAAGCAACGCATAGTTTTTTCAAAATCTATAAATTTGCATGTTAATTGGTTTATTTACTCAAATCACTCAAAAATATTACTACTGTCTATGAATTCTTTTGGAGATTTTCAACCCCTTCATATTTTACCTGGAAATATAAACAAACTGACAAAATTAGAAGGTATTGCCAAAATCTTTTAATTAATTATAATGATAAAAGTTTTATTTTATTTTTTTGTAGTTGATTTAGATATTTCTCTTAATATACCAAATCAATCAATTAGTGAACGAAATATTGTAATGACAACTGTGTACAACATACTTAGGATATTAGTTTTACCAACAAGTCAAAGTCGCAATGAAATAATAGTTTATACATTAAACAAGTATAGTGTATAAAAATTTAATTATTTGTATATATTTAATGTTGAATATTTTATGTTTTACTAAAAAACTATTTTTGTTTCTAATGCAGAATGATGACGTTTAAAAAATCACATATTCTACGATTGACACACAATGGTAAATTGTTGATTAATGTAGTTGATAATTTGATTGTCGTTCATTACCAACAAACAAAGGTTATTTATTTTTAAACTTATGGTATTTATGAGTATAGTATATTATTATATAACATATAATTTGTATTGTCTAGTCTTCTTCTGTATTCGACATATATATGGAAGCTGCAAAAGAACATGCAATATCACATTATTTACCTATCTTAGACGATCTATCAATTAAAAGAACAGTTCCTAGAGAAGGAGGATCACATTATGTTTCTCATCTATGTATCCTTTTTATAATTAAAATATAAAGCAATTTGAGATTTAATTATATTCACTATATCTTCAAGTTTTAAGGAAAAATAAATATTTGAGTCACTATATAAAATATTTGCTATATCTTGCCCACTTTATAATTATAGAAATATTATTGTATTGTTAATTTTTTTAATTAATTTGAATAATAATTACAATCTTCGGTACTCAAATGTATTATTACCTATATCAAAAGTCTTTAGTACAGTAGAACTCCGATTATCTGAACGTCAATCAACCGGACGAGAAAAAATAAGCTTAGTTTTTTAATAACTCGTAAATCATAATCATATTTCGTGGTTCCTCTTACTTAATAGATAAAGAATATGTATTATTCATAGTAAGTCAGTTGTTGCCTAATCGTCCCACAATTTACTCCGTCAATCGTTATAACATCATATAAATATGTTATATGTCATATTATGTCAATCATCCGGATATTTGCTTATATGGACCACTCTTGACATTAATTAGTCTAGATAATTGGAGTTATACTGTATTTTTATTTTTATTAAAATTCAATTTTTTTTTTTTGCCAAAAAATACAAAATAGTTTTAAAAATTGATAATACATAAATATTGAAAACTGAATGTTGAAAGTTGAATATAAGTAGCGCTAGAAATGTATGTGTTACTATGTTTTCTAATAATCATTTTATACATAGATCAAGAAATAATTTATAATACAAAGTGTTCAGCATTTTATTTCATACTCGTCATATTTCACTTTTTTTAGAAGTTTGAACATATTTTGATATGTTTTCTTTTGCTTACATTTTATTTTTATGTCATAAATGGGATACTTTTATTGGTCGGTAGTGTGTTTATTTGTACAATTTTATCATTAAATCAATTTTTAATTGTATACAGTCAAATTATTTTAAATTATCATATTCTTATAAATTGTTTTTATTAAACATTTTTTTGATACAGATATGTTAATAATTTAAATGATTCAGTTTTATTTTAATGCATAATTTTAGGGAATATTTAATATTTAAATTACAACTGATGAATATTTAAAACATCAATAGAAAAAAATGTTATATGCTGTAGTTTTTTCTATTTCACTCTTCTGAATTGAAAAAAATGATTACAAACTTAGGTACTACACGTATTAATTTCAAAATATATTCTTTACTACAGTTAAAAAAGTAATTTTTACTTCCAATTATGATATTTTCATTATTGTACAAATAAAAATCATTCCGCACCTTAACTTAGTAACCTATTTTAAACTGGTTATATATTTATAAATAGTTTTGCTATTATATGAAATTGTTATACTAATTATATGTTATTATAAGAAATAAATTGATCCTTAAGTTCTTTAATATTTTATCACAGATTCAAGTATTTGCATTTCATTTCAACCAAACATAATTATAGATGCTAAATTAGGTTATCTCTGGTATGTACTTAATTTTATATTACAATTTTTAGTTTGCTTAGTACTTTGGTGTTTTTGGTTTTGGTTTTATATCAAATAATTTAATTCTATAAAAATAAAGTTATATTGCTGTATAAATCTTCCTTACTTAAAAAAAGTAGTAAATAGTAATATTTATTTGACCGGGTCAAAGATTTTTGCACAAAAGCTTAGTACGAATGAATACGTCACAAAAAAGTGAATAATTTTTGTACTGTAACAAACCTTTAAATCATCTATTTTATATATAATATAATAAAACAGTGGAATTATCATACTTATAATAATGTCATCGAAAATATAAACTACTAACTGATAACATATTATATTAATAATGATGATTAGTTAAAAATGTTTAACTTAGAATTATTTATTTAAAATTTATTTATATATAAAATGTTTAATTAGTACCTTAACTGACAATGTTGGTATAGCCACCAAATATCACATATTATTTACTAAACCACAAGCAAAATAAGTATTTGACAATTATACCAACTTCATATAAACTAACCTTTTGTGATTTATTAATAATCATCATAGCATATAATTTATGTATTGGGAATTGCCTTCTTTTCAATATAAATGGTAAGTTATTGTTCCTTGATATCATATCCAAGTGAGGATTTAGTACCCAATTTACCATTTATAATTTGGGCTCCAGTAACATTGTAATTAATTCAACAACTATAAAATAATTTATAAGTAATGCAAGGTCTTGAATGCTTTTTATAAATAATGTTAAAAAATATTTGATAAAATGTATGTGTAATGTAAACACATACAAATACTGCTACATCTATTTGGTATAGATATCCTTTTAAGATTATTAATTAAATTGAAATAAATTAAAAAATTTGTATTTCATATTGCATCTATAATTTTAATATTAAGTTTTTATGAACACTTTCATTACTTTGTTCAGAATACTTTAACGGTCAATATTTTGAACTGTTTTCTGTTTATGGAAATAAAAATATATTAATAATGATAAATTTCACTTTTTTTTTCTTATCAACAAATCATTATGATCGTGACAAAATAATTTAATGATTAAATATTTTTTTTTTCTAATGGTGATTAGTGATACTACTTATGCACAATGCACCTACTAGATGTATTTAAATATTCTAAAAACTATCCAGAAATACCCTAAAAACTCCTTTTGACAAGCAGTGTCTGTAAAAGTTTTATTAAAATTGTTTTTTATTAAATGTTATTACATAAATCAATTTAATACGAATTTTAAAAACTCCTTTCGACAAGCAATGTCTGTATAAGTTTTATAAAAATTGTTTTTTATTAAATTTTATTACATAAATTAATTTAATACGTATTTAAAGAAGTTCATAAATTCCATCAAAAAAATCTTAAATAACTCATCGGTGATTGGTGGCGGATACTTATTACTTATTAGCAAGGTTTGGAACTTTAGGCATTTACATATTTGTTTAGAAAGTGCATATTGAAATTCTGATTTGATACAAATTCGATCCATTGTACGTGTTTTTTAAATACAAACCTTTTTTTTGCATAATTTTGTATATTTCATTATTTTTTATGAATTTACATATTTTAGGTCTTAGACATTTATGTGCATATTTCATGCATTTAGTGAAAACAATTTTTTTTTTTTATAGTTCAACAAAAAATATTAGATATATGACTATCAATTAATTAAAAATTAATTAATTCATCAACAACTATTTTTGAAATGCCCCCTTGTAATGCTATTATATGTGTTGCCCTATACGTGGTTAAAAGTGGAAAATCGTTTATCTTTATACTAAAAATTAAAAAATGATTGACTTGACATGTGCTGCGTGCCTGCGCTTGGTCTCCATATTGGAACTTTAAAGAGGTACATGGACAATATTGTTATCAAAAAAGCACCATCACATAATATTATATACACATATTTTCTTCAATAAATTGAATATTTTGCATATTTTTACTTTATATTATGATATTTTTAATGGATATGTTTGCCATTATATGAGTTCTTTTTAGGGTATATCATCTTGGGGCTGTACTATTTATTCTAAACATACATAAACATAAAACTAAGATTATGTTAAACTTAACTATTTTATACTTGTGAATTGTGGAAATTAAATTAAGCTAAACAAAATTTCATGAGACAATATTTCAAATTACTTAATTTTACACTAAAAAGTTGAAAAATTATAAAATATAATCACTGAAAATTAATAAAATTGAGTGCAGTTGAGTCTTATTAGTTCAGACTTTGCTTAATCTGGTCATATCTGGTGGCAGCCTTTGCTATTACACAAGAAACTTTAAACCCTCCAACCCTAAACCTTGTTAAATTAAATATTTGGTTACATGACATCATATTACTGTCCTTTAAGTTATTCCAAGACAAACCATCACTCTCCACTTTTGAGGGAATTGCTTAAAAACTGCAGTTTTCTATACATTTTTTAATTTGCTTCTGATACTTATGTTAACTTCTCCAGGGGAAATAACGTCCAAAATCTAGTCGGCGGACCGGGAATCGAACCCTAGTCTCTCGCTTGCCAGTTGATTGCTCTACCACTGAGCTACCCGACCGCAAAGACCCATGACTCTATCTCCCCCAGCTTATACTTAACACTATGGATTATATAATATACTTTTTCATTTATTTATGTATTAAGTTAAGTTGAATTATCTGACATTTTAATTTTATTTACAGGCATTTCAAACTAAACTTAGCAGCTGTATCCAGAATAATTATGGATAAATGTTCACTTATTGATTTTCTTCTTTTACGTCCAAAATCAAAAGATATCACTTTGGAGGTATTATTATTAATACTTATGTTTAAATATATTTAAATATATCAATTTACATTGTAATTTTAGTTTTTTGTTAACTGGGAAATATGGTTAGTTTGTACAAAATATAATAATAATAATAATTAATTCAATATTGTATAGTTAAAGAAGACTGAAGAACATTGTTTAAATACTTTTAAAAATATGAGATACTTTTAATTATCTAGATCAGGGATATCCAACCTTTTTTTAACGGTAAATCAAATATGTGATACACTTTGGCATCATGTGCGAAAATTGTTTAAATAGGAATAGAGAGGTAATGCAATTGAAGATATTGCATAAAAATTATTTTAAGTAATTAATATATTAAAAATAAAACTAATATATTTTTTTACATAATTCCAATTTGCTTGAAGAACCCTAGAACCCTGATCTGGATCAATAAGTGTCAAGTCCCAATTCCCAACTGATCATTGTTTTTTAATTAAGACAATTTGTCCTTATTTTAAAGCATTAACTGATATGTTATAGCTTATAATAATTCACAGAAATTAAACAGTATTAAATAAGTCCTATTAATGTATTTATTTAATTAATTATATACCTCATATTCTAAAAATAATAATTTAAAAACCAAATAATTGTATTTTAAATGTTTGCAGCATAATATATTATGTCCAATTATTGTACTCTAAAGACAAACAATTGCTTAAGTTATATAATTACAATTTCTATGTCCGGATACATAAATTACAATATGTAGATATAACATGTTTATAATATTATATAATATTATACATTATATATTTATAACTTTATAAGTGTATTTATTATTATTATCATTATTAAGGTTACAGACATTATAATATTATATTTGTTTTTCACTTAGGTATTACAACATATGATTTTACAAAAAAGAAGTAATTTGATTGAAATAGGTAATGTTTTTGATCATTTGAATATTGTCTACAAGAAACACCTCAACAATCATATTATGAACACCAGTCCATTACCTAATGACTATATGATTGTTGCTGAATCATTGCAATGTAAAGTCGTAATAGAACAGTTGGATGTTTACATGCATGTGTTTGTAAAATTAGTAGATAAATTAGAAAATACTAAAGGTGCGCAATCATTTAAAATTCTGTATTATTAAAATATGTTTAAGTTTAAAACCTTTTTTTTTTTTAATATACAACTAAAAATAAATATTGTATTGGTATAAATTATAAAGCATTAAAATATTTGATTATCGTTGTGTTGCAGACGATAAAAAATTTACAGTTTCGATATTAGTTGAATACATACGATCGCTAACAGATAACAAAATAACTATTGAACACTTTCTTTATGAATTACTCATAAACTGTTTAGTAATCAATAAAATGTATTATCAGCTACATCAGATGGTGCAATACCATATTGTTATTGACTCAAAGCCGTTGGTAAATATTAATGTGTAATTTGTTGAACAAAAGTTCAAGTTCTATTTTTTTTTTCATATTCAAAAGTGTTATAGAGTAAGTTGTGCATTAATTTAGAATTGCCGTTTTATTTCAGGCTTGTTTATTATTATCTTTGGAATCACTTTATTCTCCAGCTCATCAGATGGCGCTTGACATGTTGCACAGATTGAATACAGCCCATGAAGAGATTGTTGAAGTCTTACTTTCCAAGAAACAAGTCATCCCGTCCATGAGGCAAGTGTAACAGTGTGTCAGCATATCACACCCACACGTGTTGTTTCTGTCTTACAAATATACAACATAGTATATATATTGATTTTAGCAGAACTAATTTTGTGTTGTTATCTTTAATATCATATTAAATTACCTATTTTCTAACTTAAAAATAACTACATGCTCTATGTTTATACCTCAGTTGTATGCAATATTTAAATTTTAAACTTAAGTGAGTTGTGAGTATATAAATGTAAAATATTTAATATTATGATTTAAATATACTCTTAACTCACTTAAATACTACAATGTTCTTACAACGTAGATTCGAACACTCATAATGTTCTTTTTCTTAATCATAGTTTAAACTCACTATACAATTTAAAAGTAACAATGCTAATATGGTTTTTTGAATAACAATTTGTTATGTTTGTAAGATGAAAAAGTAACATGCAGCCATGTTTGTGTGCCGTCCTCTTAAAATATTTGTATTATGTCAGCTGTAGGTGCTTAAAAAATACTTTGGCACAAGCTGAAGAAAGAATTATCCACTTTAATTTAGTGCCCTCACAACTCATATACAGTAAATGTTGAAGAAAATAATTAGCCTGGCCAAGAAATTACAACTTTATTATATTAATGCTCTATTACAAAGAAATTAAATTATTAAAATAAATCTTTTATTTATTAATGTTTCGAATTTGCAGATACATGTCAAAACACAATATGCTAGATCACTCTACTTATAGAAAATTGACCGAAATTGCAATTTCAACCGAAAATTCAAAAATATTGCATTCCACAAAAGAAGAATTTGTACAAAGGAAAGTAACATCAAATGATGAACTTGACACAAATACCAAAGGATAGATTTAAAAATCAGTAAAATTAAATATTTAAACAATATGACTATTATCTAATAATGTATTAAAATTTAAATACTTGTTGTTTATGACTAAATATTTATGTTAGAACTTTAAATCATTTATTATTTATTTTTGTTAATACAGATATTTTATTATAATTTATTTTATGTATACTAATTTTATTTGTTAAAATAAAATGATAAATTAAAATATAAAAACAGTGATATTTTCATAAAAAGAAATCCAACAACCAATTTTAATTAAATTTGAGTACTCTGAATGTTGAAGAGATAAATAACTTAATTTAATCTGCTTCTACTCATCGTATAAATTACCTTGTTTTATATAAAAAAACAAATTTATTTAATATCATTAAGAACTCGAGAACTAATAATAGTAACTAATATATTAAAATAAATTTCTCCTTGCGTAACTTCTAATAAAACTTATTAATTTTTTGACTCCTAAGTGTTAAGAAATATGGTTAATTAACTTAACAGGATGTCGTGCCCACATGTGTGTCTCAGTCTTACACATGTACGATTTAGGCAAATCCCATTTACGCAGTATAATCAGAACTCACTCAATTTTGGTTCTAGAAAAAAAATACCTATTTTAAAATGAAAATATGACAATATTTCAAAGAGCAAGGTGCATTTTTTCATATAATTCCAAATATAACGCTCAAAGTCTAGAAATAACGACTGATTCAACATTTTTAATCAACCTGTAACTTTTTAAAAAATATTTTATTTTTAAAAAACGTACCGTCCTGCACACTGAAATATCCTTATATTTCAATTTTATAATAGGTATTTATATTCTAAAACCAAAATTGAGCAAGTTATGCTAGCAGACTGCATAAACGCGTTTTGTCTATTTCGTAAGTGTGTAAAATGGAACCAACACATGCGAGTGCGACGTCCTTTTAATTGTTGTTTTAAATGATTTAATTGTTTACTCTGCTTAACTGGTTTCAATAAAAAGAATAAAAATATGGAAATCGTAGAATATTTTGAAAATAACATAAGTTTGTAGATATAATTTGACACTAAAATTGTCATGATTTAGTTATTAATAAAAATAAATATTTAGTAAATATAATTACAACTGTAGCTTTATTATTGTAAATAAAAAAATTTTGTCTATTATTCTTCTATTATCATTAAATAAACACAAACGATTATAAGTGTAAATTCAATTTTAACAATATTTACTTGAATTTTAAAATGTATTTCTATAGTAAAGATTCATATATCAGCTATAATAAATGAGACTATATTTAATAAATGTATAAATGTTTGTTCAAAAATTAAGTTTGTTATAAAATATTACAATCGTAAAAGTATTTTATGCAAGTGACATTCATATAAATAGTTTACAATTAACAGTCTTTAAAAAATGATAATAATAATAATGTAAAATTTATAATAATAAAAAGGACAATACAAAAGTTATTATTATCAAAACAACCAATCTTTAGTAAGTTTTTTACAACCAGGCACGCCACGTTGGACTTTCATAACATATTAATTCTTTATGGAAAGCTTGGTATAGGAGATCAGGAATCTGAAAGTATAATAGAAATAATTTTAATGAAATAAAAACAATTGTATATAATATAATAATATTATTTCAGTAGTATTACTGGGTTGTGTATTGAAGAATTTTTTAGTTTATTGAAATTTTTCAATATATACTTTAAGTTTTCATCAACTATTTCAAACATGTGTTCTTCATTCCTTGATATTTTCTTGTGAGTTTTCTAAAAAAAATCACAATAGTACATGAATACAATTCTGTAATTAATTTTTCAGTATAGTTAATACACAATATAAAATATTACTGTCTGATGTTTATAATAATGGAGATATATTTATTTACAGCAGATAAACAGTTAAAAAAATTAAAATCTAGTTAAATGGAAATATAAATTAATTGATGTGTCATCATTTGGTTTAATTAATTTGTTGTATTATTAGTGTTATAAATAACCTCCCATTAAAAATAATCTAGAAGATTGTTTTCATATACATATATAATATATAATATATATTATAATTGTAATATTCAATCATTATTATACAAATATAATATTGTATGTAATCAAAATAAATTACTATTAATATTAAAATAATATTGGGAAGAAGTATTAGTGTTAAATTAGTAATAAATACTTGATAATATATTGTAGAACATACTCGAAAGTATAAGTCACTGAAATACTTACAATATTATAATTAGCCATAAATTCATCCTTCAATAATAATTTTATTACAACACTAATATCTTCAATACTGTTGGTTAAACAATGGCCAGTTACAGTTAAGCAATTTATCATTTGATATTTACGATAAGGTGTAATAAACTTTGTCAAATTTGGTGTTAAGCGAAAAGGTATTATATGATTTTGAACTAAGTTTCCTGCAATGATATAAATATTGTTTTTTTAATGCACAAGCCACAAATGTATCCAACATTTTGAGTTAACAGAAATACTTACCATGGACTTCACTCATATTAAATGTATAGTATAAAGCAACAGCCACTCCATTACTTTTGTCAATATTCAGCATCTCGGGCTTCAATTTGATAAGGTTAAAGGCATACTCAAAGAAACAAAGTAGTGAGTAATGTTCAACAAACTAAAAACAATGTTTGTTAAAGATAAATGTATTACAATTATATTTTAAAAATAATTAAAGGTATAGTTTCAGTATAAAATCATATTCTAAGAATATCACTTACAGTTTTGCGAAATGTCCAATAATCCGATGGCAATGGGTATATCGATGTAACCCAATTCTTCAACACTTCATCAGAGCCATATTTGTTGCCTACTGCAATTAGGCATTCCGTTAAAGGTTTAGTCCTCTCAGTCTATATAACACACACATGAAAAGACATTTTTATTTTACTAAAATTTAAAAAAATATATGATATATTTGACCTACAATAATACACGTATTCAATACGGAAAACCAAAAATCAATATCTTCATGAATCCATGATGTTTCTCGCTTATTAGACTTTTTATTCATTTCCGTATATATTTCAAAGAGTGAAAATATTGAGTTCTTTTTAGTTTCAACCATTCTTAAATTCGGACCTATTGTGAATGTATTTGGTATAGAGAACTTTAAATATCTCTTAGCAGTTTCCTAAAATAATTTGTATAATTTGGTAAATTTGTTAGTTATTAGTTGAATACGAAATGTGCAGTCTTGACTATAGAAACTACTTTACTTTAAAATCAAGCAAATAACTATTTGCTACTCGGAATAATTGAAAAATTCTATCTTCGGATTCAATTGCCTGGCCTTTTGAAACATTATAGGTATATATATGACCATCGGTTCCACGAATAGACAACTGTTTAACAACAGTGCCATTTTTGTCAATAAGATGTACATGACCACTGAAATTATGGATTCTGACAGCCAAAGAAGAATCCTAATACATAAGTAGTAACAAAAAATATTGCAATATTATAATTTATTTTTAGAAAAGTTGATTAGCATTTAATAATAATATTATTAATTTATTTTTTAATCATTACGTTGATATAATGGTCACTGGGTATCCTTATCACAGACCAATCAAATTGGTGGATTGTGGGACATCGGAAATGATGAACAAATCTCGCAGGATATTTAGATTTGTCTTCTATGTACTTGATCCATTTCCTTAGTTGTATTATCATCAGTTTGATAGTAGGAACTGAAATAGAGCTGAAATCTGAAGAAAACTTTTGCTTGAAGAATGGATAAAATTCTGACAAACAATCCGGAACGAAAAAGGTTTTCTTCATTTGCAATTGTACTATAGTAAAACATTGTAAACATGTTAATTTTACATAGAGAAGGCTAAAAAAGTTCACAAACACTGCTGCGATGGCAGTAAAATACAGCGGGACACAATTAAACAGCACCGCCAAGTCAATAAGATTTCTTAGAAACGTTGCAGTGTGACTAATTACTAATGAGCAAAGTGTATACTATTATGAAGAAGTGTGAAGGTAGCATAAACAATCTGTTTACAAAGGTACCTAGTTTTATTTGATTTTTGAAGTTGAATAACTTAAGGCTGTTGAGAGCGGTTAATTTTTTTTTTTGAATTTAGATTTATTTCTAATTTTAAATTAGAAAAAATATTTTAATTCCTTATTTTCTTTTCTAGATTATTTAAGAAATGGGTTTTCGATTATTTTTATAATTACACTAAAGAAAAAGTGAATTTAAAAAAAAAAAAGATAATTAATTCAAAATTTTTTTAAAATATTTTTCGTCATTGAAAAACAATATTTTAACTATTTTTATCATTGCCTTTCATTTTGAATGACAATATATTATATTTGTTATTTCATACTCCAAAACAGAATAATTTTAATAGCATTTCAGTTTATAAAAATCAAATTTTTAATAAGTAATTAATTAGTTACAACTTACACAACAAATAAGTACTTATTTAAAATGTTGATGAGCTTCCGTGAATAATGGCCAACAATTTTGCGGACTACACGAAATACTCTATTTAAATAATTGTGTTTACTATTTATATTACTTTTTATTTATAAATTATGATTAGGCTTGGGTTTTCTAGTAAAATATACTTATTTTTCTATTTTTAACTACTTCCATGGAACTTTGTTTTAAATTTTTAATCCTTAGTTATATAGGTTGAACATTTTATAAATGTTGAACTACTAAATAATTTGTCAATTCTCAATTTAATAAATTAGGTCAAAATTGAAAAAAATGGGACTATGGACTTTTAATATTTTTCATTTGTCTTTGAAACAATATATTAGGAGCCACCTATTCAAATTTCAAGCATTTTTACCCAACAAATAAAATTGTATTGATATTTATAGAATAAAAAAATCTATGCACTTTTACTGTCCTAAAAGGTGATAATACACACAAAAAAATTGATAAATAAAAATTTTTAAAAAAATTTATAAAAAAAAAACACACATCATTCTAAAATCAATACATTCATCGCTTTGCTCAGAATCTAAAAAGCACCTGGCTACGACCAAATAAACTCAAAAATACTGAAAGAACTACCCAAATGATTCATCTAACACACATATACGATGCAATCCTGCATACAGAATACGTTCCATAACAATGGAAACGAGCTCAAGTAATCATGCTACTTAAACCAGGGAAACCACCCGAACAAGTAGCTTCATACAAACCGATATTACTTCCTATATTACTTATTGAAGAAAGTAATTAATACCAATAATAGAAGTAAGACAGCTTATTCCTCAACACCAGTCTGGATTTTGGAATAAGCACTCAACAATTGAACAGGTTCATTGTGTCACAATTGTGATAAACAAGGTACTAGAGGGAAAAAAATATTGGTGTAAAGTTGATAAAGTTTGGCACAAAGGATTACATATTAAGCTATGTGAACAGTTGCCACATAATTGGAACGCACTCATAAAATTCTATCTGACTGAATATCAATTGAGTCATACACGGTGAAGCAATAACTGACTGGAAAAACATATCAGCTGGAGTACAACAAGGCAGCGTCCTCGGACTTATTTTATATTTACTTAAGTTATACATTACGTAAAAGTGTATATTGCTCAGTATTGTTGGATTAACAATTCATCCCACAGAACGATTCTGAAAAATACCTAGGAATGCACCTTGATTCACGATTAAATTGGAAAAATCATGTTTGCCAAAAAAAACTACAAATTAAAGAGAAATTTAGGAAACTTATTGAGGTAGACACTCTGAACTAGACCTTACAAAGTTACAAGCAAACGTATATTGTATGTAGCGATAATTAAACTAATATGGACCTATGGAATACAACTGTAGGGTTATGCCAGTAAGTCCAATATTGAGATTATCGTTGCCAAAACAGTGCTCTCCGTACTATTGTTGTAGCATATCGGTACGATAGAAATTATATTATTCACTGAGATTTGATGATGATCTCCGTCTAGGACAAGATTACCAAGTTTGCCAGAAAACAGGACATCAGGCTAGATAAATACACCTATCAAGTAGCAATTCAACTACTTGATGACTCTCAAGACATAAGGCGTCTCAAACCCGAAGACCATATGACTTAGTATAAAATAATAGACTAACGCACAAAACATTATTTGAATGAAATGATTTATTCATTTTATTATATTGTTATAGGTAAGTAATAACTAATAAATACATACTTGTATTCACATCTTCAGCAACAAACGAAATAACTATGGTTTTAATAAAATTTGAAATTTTTCTTGGAACTCGTACATTCAAATTTTTATTCTCAAATCCAAAATCATAACTGAGGTATAAGCACTCATATAATTTTCGACGTAGTTCTTCATCCCAACTTTCTCCTAATGAAGTTATCTATAGTAAAAAAAAATTTTAATTTAAACAATTTATTTTAAATACTACCTATACTAGTTTTCAGGACCATTACATTTAAACTTATTTTCTATTCTAATATTTATAATACATACATTACAAATTTTGATTAATATATAATAAGATTAATATTAATATAATTATTTTACCTTGTCTACACTATAAATATATCATGATTATATTATAATGGATGTATAAAATTGAATTAATATTAAAGTTGTTTTATGAATATTGTCAATACATAAGTAGAGAATTGAGCATCATATATTACAACTGTAGATGTTTTATCATAATATGTTACTTCAAGTACAAATACAGGAATAATTATTTAAAGCTTGATTGTAACAAAATATATTTATTTAACAAATAGTGACGGTTCTATTCTTTCTATAAGATTTGTATTTATGAGAAAATAAAATTAAAAACATAAATATAAGGTTATCATATGAAATGTATCACTATGTTAATTGCTTTGTATTGTAGAAACTCTAACTATAACAATTTTTATAATTAGAAAATTATTGTGTAGGTGCATTAATAGCAATATATAATTCAAACAATTTATTTTTCACATAGTTTAGATTCAATCAAATTTTAAAACAAAGTATTCTAATTCATGAAGTTCAGAAATTGACTATAAATTATAATATTTAACAGTAATAAATTGAGACAGAAATATATAATAAGGTATTCTAAATAATAAATTGTATTAAACTAACCTGATCAACAAAATAGTCCAATTGAATTATACCTAAATTACACTTCTGCATCAAAGTCATCATTTGTTTGATCTTATCAATTTTTAACATTTGGTATGTTTTTTTTCGAACATCATCTGCTTTATAAATGACAAAATATTGTTAGAACATATTAAAACAATTAATTTAAATTGAGAATGTGAAAAGTAATGTACATACTTGTCTGTTTATTTGCGGACATAGTTTCCTAAAGAAAAATTATATTAATACTTATGGTTTTATTTTATTATAAAAAATACTATAGTTCTATATTATCTAAATCTAATATTTATAATTTATATTACCATTGTTTTATTCATTTTTTCAGTAAGGTACATTCTGTTCAAAATCAAATACATTTGTTGTGGATACCATTGTCCAATCTATAATAATATTACAAAAGAAAATTAAATATGATTCAATAAAACATGGCATGGTAAAATATATTGAAACTGAATTTAAATCTAATCACACATTTAGATTTTAATTTCTATCACAGGATCAATATTGAAGAAATAAAAAATATTGTATTACCTTGGAAATAATTTTATCAATGGCTTTGATATTTTTCTCCACAAAGGTATTTAGCATTTGAGGAAGCCATATATCAGAAAATAAAAAATTACAATTTTCAAAAGCGCGTAGTAATGTATACTTATTATCATCGTACGTTAAAAGCCATAAAATCTGAATAAAACAATTGATACTTATTAAAAAATAAATATAATTTATAACTTTCCAATTGATACTTACTCTGGCTATTACAATATTACATTTAATATTAGTAGTAAACGTAGATGCTATAATGTAGCATTTAATAGCTGATAACGCAATATTTACATCTTTAATAGATAACTGATTAAAATTGTGTTCAATTAATGTTGCCCATTGAAGCCAAGCATTTTCTAATATTTCATTGCAATTTAATGTTGTTAAAAATGTATTTAATTGTGTTTGACGGTTGGAGCATTTGTGCAAATGTAGAGGAATCAATTTAAAATTGTCTTCTATTAAACATTGCCATTCAATATCAATAAATTTATTACTTTCTTTAGTGGTAAAAAACATGTAATAATATTTTGAAGCAATATCTGTATTACCACAATAATCTTGTAAGCTACCTATGATTGTTAATAATAGAGGCTTCATGCCATCCATAAAAACATTGTTTAATGGCAAATTTGCTAGATCATTGAATTTCTAAAAAAACAAAATAAGTTATTGGAATTGTGAACATATTATAATACAATATTAGTATATATTATAAATTTATAACTGATTATCAGTTTTCTTTTTTTTAAATATTAATTACAGTTATATACAGTTATAATCAGGGTTTGGATTGCATTTGCATATTGCACTTGTTGCATTTGCATATTCTTTAATTACAACTGGAGAATATTTTGAGCCATTAATGACTCAAATACAAAAATGTAAACTGCTATAATTATTGTATACAGGGTGATTCTTTTATCATTGAACACTCATTATTTCAAAAAGTATTAATGTTCAAGAAAATATTTTTTTTACATAGTTTCAAGTTGTTAAAAAACAATATTTTTATTAAAAAATTATATTTTTAAATATTTTTTATCCTTTTAATTTTTTAATTTTTTTACTTTTTTGAATGACAACATGTAATTTTAATTTTATATTCAAAAACAGAATATTTTTCTGAGTATTTCGATACATAAAAATTGAATTTAGGCAATTAGTTTATGAGTTATAAGTATTTAAAGTTTAGATGAGCGGAGTAGAGTGGTACGGGGTTACCCCGCGAAATGTTTGTCCACTACTCCGCTCATCTAAACTTTAAATACTTATAACTCATAAACTACTTGCCCTAAATTCAATTTTTATGTATTAAAATACTCAGAAAAATATTCTGTTTTTGAATATCAAATTAAAATTACATGTTGTCATTCAAAAAAGTAAAAAACTTAAAAAATTAAAAGGATAAAAAATATTTGAAAATATAATTTTTTAATAAAAATATTGTTTTTAACAACTTGAAACTATGTAAAAAAATATTTTCTTAAACATTAATACTTTTTGAAATAATGAGTGTTCAATGATAAAAATATCACCCTGTATACTTATTTCCCTTATTTAATTGTTGGGGTGTCAAGACCAATATAAATATAGTTATATATAATATGAACATGAATTATAAATCTATATATTATATGAAAGAACTTGATCTAACTGACTGATATCTACTAGCCAGAATCGCCGAGGCAATGTTTTTTAAATTTGCTCAGAAGTTTATTTTTATGATATAGAGACAAAGTAAGAAAATTTTTTCCAAAATTCACATTTTTAAAAGTGCACCCAAACTGAGATACACTCAAAATGTGCAAATTATTTTGGGTTAGAAATTCATAAAAATATTTCTTTCTAAATCTAAGATTTTAAAATTAATTACAAGATTCTTCATAATAATGTCTATCTTTAAGAAAATATTTACCGGAAAGTCAAATACAATTTTTAAAAGTGTTTGAAGGTAAAATTTTTACAATATTGGATGTGTACTCGATTACTCATGTAGTGATTTTCTTTGTTTGTTGTAATTCCAAAACGAATAACTTTAGAACATGACATTTTCACTTCTTGTTTATATTAGCATTTTCTATATACTATAACATTTTCAAAATATTTTGATTTGTATTGAACTGTTTACGGACATTATCAGTTTCCAATTTTATTAGTTATTTTTTTTTTCTATGAATGTCAATAAAATTTTATTTGTTGGATTAAATAGCGTGAAAATGTAATATAAAGCTCCTGATTTATGCGATAAATAACAAACAACATTTCATTTTTAGGTACAGATAATTTAGTTTTAACATTTTTATTATTTTTGACAATCCTAATTAATTATTGTTCTAAGACTTAACTATCCCCTATAATCGGCAAATCCATTAGTGAAAATATTGTACTAAAATATGTTGAGTACTTTTCGAGATATACATACACAAAAAGCAGCTTTTATTCTGTAATTTATATTGATTATACTAACTTTGTTGAATTTTATAACCTTTGCATGTTTACATTTCACCTCCAAGTTCATTTTATGCAACCAATTAGATATTGAAATATTACTAAGATTAATATTGTTTAAAATATTAATCGATACATCAGTCATGTTATGCTTTAATGCTATCTCTCCAAAAAGCAATTTTGATTTATCCTGCAAAATTATTATCAAAAATGGTTACTATTTGATATTAAACTATATTTACAAATAATAACCTGAGCAGATTTTATGAAATGCGTTTTTAAATTTAAATTGCGTTGATTCAAAAATGAATAATATGTTTGTCTCCATGAAATCAAATCACTCCATACATTTAAACTATCTCCAATCCACGGATTTCTGTTATGCCAAATCTGAATTAATGTATCAATATTATTGATATTTTCTGGTGAATGAGACCAACTGTTTTGAACATTAAGTGCTTCTCGTAATTCAACTATCTGTACAAAACAGTTTATATATTTTATACAAAATTATTTAATACTGATATAACACAATTTTAGTTAACTATTAAATATAATATAACCAACTTACCAGTTGGGTGGCTTGAAGTAAAGGGATATGAGCATTACATAAATACTTTGGCAATATTTTCCATTCTTCTATAATTTCTGTGGAAGCAAGATCAATATGTTCCTGGACAGTGAACATAACTTGTTGATCTAATTCTTTTAATCTTAACATTCCCAAATAAAAATGATACTATAAATAAAATAAATTATTAATTAATTAAAAAAACTAATGAAGTACTTAATAATTTATATTAGCTCATAAAAATATATGTTCACATTTAATAAAATAAGAGTTCTACTAAATATTTAATTATCAAACATAAGACAAGTTTAATTTTGTGAATATGAATTATTATTTTAAAATCACCTTCCAAACTAATTTAGATGGCCAAATATTTTGTTTATTTTCCAAATACCACCTTAAATCATCACAAGTAGACTTTTCAATTGAGTTTTTCCACCTATTTTCAATATTTAACAAAAAGTTATCATCTTCTAATATATTTTCAGTTAAATAACTCCACTCGTTCAACTCCCTTAGGCATCTGCAATGTGTTTATAATAATTTAACAGGTGAATTAGCTTAGAACACTGTAGCAATGTATCAAAATCAATACTTACTTAGTTAAGCGAATCTTTCTAAACATGGTATCTTTATTATAAGAATTATTTTGGTAAATTGCTGTTCCATTTATTTCTTGATCTAATAATTCTTTGTACATTTGTGAAGCTTCTTTAATGTATCCTTGTTGCTCAAGAGATAATGCTTTTTTAGTATCTTCACATTTTATAGTATTTTGAAAAAGGCTTTCTAGAACATCTTCATCCCGCAATAGAGAATATATCTGAATCAGTCCTTCAACAGCTTCCTTAAAAATAATTTTTAATATGTTTAAACAAAATGTTAACTCCAACAAAATAAGTGTATTTGGTTTATATTACTTACATCATGTTTATCGTGTACATAGTAACTAATAATATTTTCCATTTGATCAATGACTAAATACCATAAATTATAAGTTTTTCCAATATATACCATTTGATAACTAAAATAAACATTAATATATATTACATTTTTATGATGAATTGATTTCATTAAAAAAAAATAACTTACGGTTTGAAATTTAAATGTGGTTTACAAAGAATAATAGCTTCATAAAACGCTGTCATAAAATTATTTCTTAATTTACTTTTTGCTAAAAAATTCATTGCCCTTGTTGATAGTAAATTTCGTTGATCATCATTAAACAAACTCCAAACATTGGGAAGTAATGATATCCATAAGTATTTAGCTAAGTCCTCATCATAAAAACACAACTGTGCTAAAGAGAAACACATATCAAACGCAGAAATATTTTGTACTTGATATGATATTAGAAAACTACTAGTTGTTGAAATGGCCCCCTAAATATAAATATATAATGTACAATAAAAATAAAAATAACAAAGAAATGTAATTATTCTTGTAATGTATCTTACAATTGTATCACTATTCTTTATGAATAATAATGGAAAATCTCCTTGGAGTTTAGTATTTCTGGATATCTTTATCAATAACAGTTGAACATAGAATGCAATTGGAGCGTCTAAATTATAACTTAATTCATTAGACATTAACGTATACAATCTTATGCATAATCCACCGTCACGCCATAATGTATCATAAAAATTTAAAAACTCATATCTTATTGATGAAGATTTGCAACTGATACCATATTCTATACATTCCGTAAAATACCAATTTCTGAAAATAATACATTTAAATTATTTTATATGAATAATTTTAATGATACTACTAATATATTATATGGATTATAGACGATTATAAAATTTCAAAATCAATCAATGGTGTATTGATTGGGTAGGCAAACTATGCTCAGGACTTCATAATTTTGGAATGATTTCCTTGATAAAATATTTAATAAATTGAAATCTAACAATAAGGTACAATGCTCTGGAAACCTTTGGCTATGTCAAATTAATTTAAATTAAGGAAACGATTGAATTAAGTGAATTAATTAATAAAATAACATAAATTATGTTCATTACAATTATTACAATAATATGGAATAATCAACAATACTTATGTGGCTACTAGCTGTTATGCTATAAACTAATTTTTATAAAGTAATTTACATTAAATCCTAAATGCAGAAAAAAGTTACAAATTTATTTAATTAGTACTAAATTCTTATTTAATTTAACACTATTATTAAATTAATTATTCAAATTACTTGTTATTAATATTAAATATTTTATTGTAGTCTGTAAGAAGGTTTGTATTTTTGAAATTCATTAATATTTTAGATTTTAATTAGCTGACAATTTTTTTAATTTATTTAAAATTTAATATTCATAACTTTTTTGTTGATATAACTAAACTCAAATGGTTTAGTTCAATATTTTTGATTATTTTATTAGTATAACTGATTAGGATAACCCTAATTGGCATAAATTAAAAAAACAAATAAAATAAAATATAATATATTAGCTTTAAACACAAAGTACCTGAAAATTTCAAGGTTCAATTTATAACAATAATCGGTTAACTTTGGAAACCGGTTGATATAAGTGACAGATTTTAAAATTTTAATAACTTGACAATTAAAAAATACAGCCTCATCCCTACAAATCTCAATCCATTTAGTGATTACCTAAAAAAATATATTAAAATTAAAAAATCTTAAAATAAAGAAATGTAAATAAAATATATTTAAAAACAAACTATTTAATATGAAAATAAAGTATTGATAAAAATAATTGCAATTAAATTACGTTTAAAATTATTATCATTATTCGTTCATCAGTTGTGGTTTTTATATATTCTAGAAGTGTTGAATTTAATAATACTCCTTCAGCAGCTTCAGATATATCTTTTATATAAGTAATGACAAGTTCAAAACATTTTAGTTGCACTTCAAACGGTATATTGTTTTCAAAATCTCTCGCTCTATCCAAATTTTCTATTACTACTTTCTCAATAAATACTTGTTTACCAACACGTGGCAATGTATCAACATGAGTTTTTAGTATTTCTAAACATAATACCTTAACATTTGGATTTCTGTTATCTGAAAAAATATTTGTAAATTTTTGATTTAATAACAAATATGTAGTTATATATTTGAATTTATAAAACTGGCTAGTATTTCTTATTTCTACATAATATATTTATTCACAGTATACTGACTTTCATTGAATTTAAACATTATATCTCCCATAGTATTAAGTAATTCGTTATTCATATAATTTGGAAAATGTATTAATGAAACGCTTAATAACGTCAAACTGATTTCTAATTTGTTTGAACAATTACTTATCAAACCGTCTGAAATTATCTACAACATACATTTATAATGTCAATTGAGTCATATGATTTGAAAAGTTAATTTGTACCGTTTGTATGTATAAGTGCAGCTTTTCTAATCCTTCATTTGATGAAAATGTTTTTAAAATATCAGCAATGAATTTTAATGTTCCTTCGTTAACCTAAACATTACAATGAATATAATTAAATACAACTATAAATGAAATATTTCATTGACTTTTAAATATTTAAGCAAAAAATGCTATCTCTTTATAAAATAAATAACTAACTTGTTTGACTTGTAGTACAGTAAGATGTCGATTAGTTACTATAATATCTCTATGATTATGAGGATTGCTTAAAGTAGGTCCCTATTAAAATAAAATAAGTAATGCAATTTTTATTAAGTTTGCATACAAAACTTCTTAATGATTCAAGAGTAATAATATTACTTCAATAAATGCAAACTGAAGAAATTTGATAAGATGATCTTCAACAGGTTTTATAGCTTCTATCATTGTTTGTTGTGGTAAAACACTTAGCAAGAATGATATAGTCTCAAACGCTGCTAACAAATTCATTAAACTTGCAGAAGAGTTACCATGAATAGATTTTGGGTTTTGTTTAAAAAGTTGTTCTTTTTTCAAAAACGAGTCACAAAGTTTTTCAAACCATCCAAATTTTAATTGTAGTTGCGTAGTATCGATGGGTTCAGTGTTCAATATATTTTTAAATAACTTTCTACTGCGTATTGCTAGTTTACTTATCAAGCTTTCCGGTTTATCATCATGTGTCTACATAAAAATAAATTGATATTTGGTTATAAATAATATACAATTAAGTATAGTTATTATATTACAGTACCTGGCACCCAACCATTGCCAAAAAGTTCAAACAGTTTTCAATACATTGAGATGATTTCTTTTTTTGTGGCTGCGAGTTATTATTCTCTACTTTAGATTTTGCATCATCAATTGAACGTTTGAGAGGCAGTATTAATGTCTATTTAATAAAAAAGTAAAAAAGGAAAGTTATAACATTTTGTAAAAAAATAATATTGAATATATTACCGAATTTGAAGGGCTATCCGAAAGTTCCCAGCTTATTATCAAACATGCCAATTCTATTGCTGTAGTTTTAAAATCAGGTATATTGTTAGTTTTAGCAATTGGAAATAAAGCTTTTATGATATTATTAATCAAAAACTCTTTGAAAGGGAAAAACAACTAAAATAACATATAAATACAAACAGTTCAGTTTTAATAGAAATTATCCAAGTTATAATCATAATATAACTTACTGTATTATACTTAATTACAAATAGACAAATATGATGTAGAATTGGCACATTTTGTGATTCATTGAACAATATCTTCTTAATACATGCAACTAAACCTTGTACATTACCATTTTTTTTACAGATAGCAGAAACTATCAAGTTTAATGAGTAATTTATTACTGGTAAAGCTTCACTAAAGCTAGCTTTTAAAAGCTCATAATGTATCACTAGAACCATTATAATAATTAAGTAAAACAAACAAATTTGAAAAAAATCATTTGAACAATGCTGTGTCTAGAGACACGGACATCCATATTTATGATGCGTGCATAGATATTTGTGTTGCTGAAGTACGCATGGATGTTAAGGTTGATAATGTGAGAACTGCATGATGCATCTGTAGTAGGTACATATGCAGTATGCACATTACAAACACTCATGTCCAAGGCCGGGTTTAGACTTTAGGATGCCCGAGGCAAATCTTTTTCAGTAGTTAAGGAATAAGTTAAGGAATAGTTAAGATTGTTATATTAATAATAAAATATACAGTTTAATTAAATTTAATACTTTAAACTTTTTATATGCTATAAATGGTACATTAAAAATGATGTAAAAAAATATCTGGTGACCTTTAGAAGCAGAAGTCCATGTCAAAATGTAAATTTTTATTAAAGCCGGGTTTCCTGGGCACTACCACTGCACTGTTTAAAAATAAATCATAAAGCCTTTGACCGTTTATATATAAATACTACGGTATTTTGTATTCGCTGGATGTCCCAATGAAATCCTCCCATGTTTGCAGCCCAAATATGTATACAAATACAAATCAATATATTTTTTTTGAAGTCAATATTTTTTTTCATACATTTCCTAAGCCGAGGGTCAAAAAGTTTTACATTTTTTTTATAGTATTCTGGCATCCAGATGCCAACAAACATCTACTGACCGGGGGGGACAAGTGCCCTTAAAAAACCCTCCTTCAAATCCGGCCCTGCTGACGTCAGTGTCTCTAAACACAGTCTTTAAACAATATATTTTATTCATAATTTATAGATATTATAAAGAACATTGTATTTAAATTATGCATAATTAATGATAACCAAATCAACTAACTTTGATTAAGTTTTTCTCTTTTTGGAGGATTTTCAGATAACATTATGTATGTTAAGATCAAATAGCAGTGATATTTAACATTTATATCCATTGTACATTTAAACCATGTGCAAGATATTATGGAATTATATATCAAGTCACAAATACTGTCATTGAAACACAGTAAATCATCAATTAACAGACAAATAAGTTGGCATAAGAATACCTTAATTCCATCAAAATCACATCCACTCAATACAACTCGAATATTGTTAAAAATCTAAATACATAAATTAATAGAAAGCTATTATTAATATAAAATAATAGTATAAATAACTTATTATACCGATACTATATACTATAGTATAGTATATAGTATCGGTATAATAAGTTATTTATACTACAGGCGTGCCCAACCTTTTTTAACTTGCGGGCCACATTCGAAATTTATATTTATACTGCGGGCCGTATATGCTTCATGGGTTTTTTTTTTTGTTCATTTCGATAAAATATAGACTAGTCATAGGTATATCTATTGTACATTTTATCGGATATAATATTATCTTTGTTGATATCTCTGCTGATATTTTTGAAAAAGTGAATTGTTGTATTGAAAATTTAGGACTGACCTGGGAAAAACTTTGTAGTATTACAATAGATGGAGCTCCAAATATGGTTGGGTGAAATACGGGATGAGTTGGGAGGATAGCTGAGTTAACAACTTCAAAAATGATTGAAACACCTATATTTTTACACTGTATTATTCATCAATAATCTCTGTGTGGTATAATTATGAATTTGGAACATGTGATGAATATTGTTACTCTTACTCTTACTTATACTAGACTCTTACTGATGATTTTCCAAAAATAAAAGAATTATCAATGCGTATATTTACATAATTTGGTTCTACTTATATTTGCGAACAAACGTTTTCACGCATGAATTACGTAAAATGTTCAGAAAGATCTCGTTTGACTGATGAACACTTACACACCTTATTAAGAATTGGCGTTACACATTTCACTCCGAATATTGAAAGATTTGTTAAGGGGCCTGCTCGCGATTTTTCAAATTTTCCGCAATTCTATAAAATTTGAAAATTAAATTTTATATTTTAGTTGCCACCTCAATTATAAGACTTTTCCACTAATCTACTACCCAATACCTATTTAGGGGGGGTTGATAGGGTGTATTATATCGGTCAAAACACAGTTTACAGGAAAAACTCTCACACCTCGTAGATTGGTCCGATTTCCGTAATTTTTTTTTTGTTAGATAGAGGAATATTTTTTACAGGGCGCATTGGACTTCGATTTTTGATTACGTCGCTAAAAACAAAAAATAATACAAAAACTAAAAAGTTGTAAAAATTGATTAAATTCAAACTTGTAACATAAGACTTAGAAAAATAATGTTGAAAATCCAAGTCCAATGCGCCCTGTAAGAAGTCTTCCTCTATCTAACAAAAAAAAAATTACGGAAATCGGACCAATCTACGAGGCGTGAGAGTTTTCCTGTAAGGCATGTTTTGAGCAAAAAAACAGGTCGCGTGCAGGCCCCTTAAAGAAAAACAAGCCCAAATTTCACACTGATTTATTGCTATTAATATTCTAAAATGTATTATATACTTAAATTATTTAATTATTTATTTATTTGTAGGTAGCATGTTTTACATTTACACCAATTTATTTCTATTAATATTCTAAAATCCAATGAATTTTTTTTTATATAAAAATTAAAAATTGTAAAATATTTTATATTCTTAAAAACTTAATAAAATACATTTTTTTACACCTATATAAATTTCTAATTTTTATAAAATGGTCACGGGCCGGTTGGAACACGTTCGCGGGCCGGATTCGGCCCGCGGGCCGCGGGTTGGGCATGCCTGTACTATACTATACTAATTATACATATACTGATTTACAAAATCATTCAAACCGTTAATGTTCTAAAGCTTCTTAGATAAACTTAATTAATATGAAATATTTTTGTAATTGTATTCTGAAATTACATTTTAAAGCTAGGTAAAAATCTTTATTCTTTGCACTTAACATTTGTACTGTCTAATATGACAAATAGTTTTAATTTATTTTATATTAGAAACACACAAAAAACTTTTAATACTGAACAAAATCTCACCAATGAGGGTAAACCCTCGAGGGGATGTACTTTCCTCAAGATTTTCAATTTATACACCGCAAATAACAGCTCCCAGAAAAAAAATCTATATTATTACTTATTTGTTGATTTTATTAAAAACTCCAATTTAGAAAATATAAAAAGTGTAGAAGGTAAACCCCCAAAAATCTGTTCTATCCTCAAGATTTTTAATTTATACAACTCAAATAACAGCTCCCAGAAAATTAATCTATAGTCTATACTATTACTTATTTATTGATTTTATTAACAACTCCAATTTAGAAAATATAAAAAGTGTAATGAATACATGTATTAAAAAAAGTTATTTTACTAACAAAGCTTTAGTATCATTGACGATTTACATAAATAAATCATGAAAATAATGTATGTGTAATGTGTATCAACAGACATAATATTTGTGCATGAACATATTTAGTGTAAAAATATTGTTTAATTTACTATTTTTTAAAAAGGAAATACTTACTTTATTTAAAACAACTCCAATTATATTTTCATCAATTTTACCTAATGTACATAATAGTTGTTGTTTTTCCCCTTTCTTATAACACATTGAAAAACATGGTAGTATTATATATTGAAGTATTTTTCCTAAAATATCAGTATTTGCAGTTCTTTTTTGATACAATTCAATAAATTTAAAAAAGACCATTCGTTTCCATTGTATGCTACTTGATTGTATTATTTCATTTTCTAAAAATCTTCTGAAAAACTGTTTCAATAAAATTTAAAAAAAAATGAACATATAACAAATCTTTCAAATAAAACTTACATTTATATCTATAGGGAATCGATTTGAAAACACAGGAAGTATTTGAAAGAGTATAAATACTTCATCATTGTTATCTCGATAATATGCCAGTACAATTTTTAATAGCATTTTGGGTTCATTCCATTCTGTTGATTTAATAGCAGCTAAATTTTTATAACGCTCCTTAAAAATTTACCAAAATAAATAATTTAACATAATGATTTATTATTAATTTGTTAATCAATGACTTTTGAAAAAAAAATTTGAAATTTGAACGTTATATTATTATTTATAATTATAATAATTTATGATACTGAAAATCATTTTTATCACCATTATCGCTATACAACTATATAAAAATTACAACTAACAATGTTCCACGCATTTTAGGATAAAATATTATTTCTTTGATCCGCAATATATGCAATTTTTTATCAAAAACGTAAAAAGTTTGCAGTTGTGTCACATCAAACATTAAGAGGACGTCACACCCGCATATGTTGTCTCCGTCTTACAAATGTACAACATAGCAAAAACTGTTATGAGAGGAACAACTTTTCTCGCATCATTATTGTTGTAGAACAACCAAATTTTCATAACACCTAAAGAAGAACTTTATATCTGCGTAAGAGCGTGCTTTTTTTAATAGCAAGTGATCCAATCATTTTTTTATAAGCAAATGAAAAAAACAAAATGTTTAGAAGCAAATAACTTTTATTGTATTTATGTTATCTGTTGCATAGATAATTGTCTAGCCTATACGTTTAACAATTTTGGAGCCACTACTACTAACACAGAAAGATAAAAGTTGTCCCGCGCAAAACAGTTTTTGCTATGTTACACATTTTTTAAGACGGAGACCATACATGCGGGTGTGACGTCCTCGTAAGGTTAAACTTAATAGATTATTCTATTAAGAAACTATTCCAACGGTTTTTAAAAACTGTTTTGTTCATGTAACCCTTAAGTTGGTAAAAAAATTTAAATAGCCATAAAATCAAGATTATCAATTTAAAAAAAAAAATAACTAAATTAATTATAATGATCATTACAACAAAGTTAATAATATTGAATTTGGTTGGGTCTGTGAACCCCTGATCAATATCATGGGAACCACAGTGAAAAGTGTTTATTATACGAACGTTTCACTTTTTTACATAAAACAACTTTCATTTAATTGCATAATGTGAAATAAAAACTTATAAAAGTTACTTTGTACTGAGGACTGGTCCAAATATTTAGTATTATGCTTATAATTTTTTTTGAACTAAAAATCCATTTTTTTGCCGTTTGTACCAAATTATAAATTATTTGAATACTTTCATATTGAATAGTTCTTGATGGGTCTAAATAAATGTAAAAAAATAAAGAATAAATGTTAAGTTTACAATGAATAAATAAAGCTATATACTAATGACAACTAAAAACATGTTAGTATATGCCAGTGTATGTAAATTTATTTTATTGAAAGTTTAAGTCATAAATATATTAACATTGGCTTAACATACTGCCAATTCTTATATACCATTTAATGTGTTTCCTTACGGAATAATATAAAATAATGGATATAATATATGTTATGGTACAAGAATGATACCAGGGCTCGGTACTTCACGCATTTCTTAGGAAGCTGCATAATCAAAATCTGGTTCAATACAAATTCGTTCCATGATAAATACAAATATTTATTGAATATTTTTGCATACTTTACTAAATTTATATGAGATTGCATGTTTAAAGATTTTAAGCATATTAATACATATTATGTTAATTAATCAACAACAAACAAATTTTCAATAATTTAAAAATAAAAGGCTGCCGCACACCACCACCTAGTCTATATTTTGAACTATAGTATATACCGAGTATTAATTGTAAATAGTTGTATGATAGAGCAGTCATATTTAAAATTCTTTAAATAATAAATAATATTTTGTTTTTAAATTAATATAATGATTTAATATTTGCTGTATTTGATGAATTTAACTTTTTTTTTTAATTTAGGACTGAAATAAAAAATATACACAAACAATTTATAAATACATTTTTTTTTTTAATAATTATGCTTTTTCCAAGTTTATTATTATATAAATATATATTTTACAAAAAAATAATTGCATATAATACTGCATATTTGAAATTTTTTTAGCGCATATGTATGTATATATTTTATTGTTTTTTAGCGCCGTAAGTCCGGGCCGCATAAAGTCTGAGCCCTGATGACTACCGATAAAACCTAGCATTCACTACTAGCAACTATCAGAATTTGGGTTTTCATCAATAGAACTTGGTAAATTCTATTTGATTTGGATAATTTGGTTTTTGGCCTAGTTATTAATATTATTATTCATATTCACTGATTATATTTAAGCACAAACAAAATTGAATTGCATGACTTATATTATTTTTATATTTTAAATTTATTCTAAAATTTTACCATTTCTCATTTGTAAAAACATAATACAATAATTAGGCAGGAGTTTGATTGAAATTATTTTGTTTTTCTACAATTTACATACAGTGCCGGCGCTAGGTATTGCGGGGCCCTGGTCATAGGTAATAGCCTTTAGGTTCTCAGAGAGTAGTGAAATTTTAGCTTTTTTTTAAATCAGGATTTTAAAAAAAGTACTGTTTTTATATATAAAATAGGTAAATAATTAAATTTAAATAATGCTCTGTCAATTCTTAATGAATCAAGATATTTTAATGAAACAAAAATCAAATTAAAGCTTATTTTTATCTTTGTTATTCACTTGCCCCATATATAATTTTATGTAATACTAATAGCAAAAACAATCCGATTTTGCACTTGCCCCATGAAAAGGGTTTAAAATTAAAAAAAAAATTATTCTTAGGTGAGTGATAATATAACTTTGTTGACTATAAATTCCAATTATGTATATCTAGAGGTGTTACATTATGGAACAATAACAACTTTAAGTTAAAAACAAAAAAAGTATTGTCAAATTCAAAATTAACTTTTCATTTTTGCGTCACACTTACCCCACTTTACCTTACCTACTTGTGTAAACGGAGACAACACATTCGAGTGCGATTCCTCCTGATGAAACCTCGCTCAGCACAGAATTAGTGGCGTAGCGTGAGTTTCAGTTAAACCTTTGAGTGGAAAATCATAGGCTAATAAATTCATAAGGGTTGGTTATTTTATTAATTTACATTTATTTTAACAACTACATAAAATCATCAATTAAAAATAAATTAATTCATCAAAATGTTTGAATAAAATAATAAATTGTTCAATATCTAAGTACGCGACCGCTGCAGGCAGAATTATGCAAAATACGACGGTAGACCACGGTATTCGTATTAAGATTTAAGATGATAATTAAAAATCACGGGGCCCTTTAACAAGCGCGGGGCCCTGGACAAATGTCCCATTTGTCCTCCCCTAGCGCCGGCACTGTTTACATAGATCAATTGGTAAAAGCCTGCAAATCAAACAACTACCGCTTTACCATCAGTAATCTATAAAACTAAGGATTTCTATGTTTGTACTTGTACCTCATCATTCTTACTGATTTAATAATTCAAAGTAAAATCATAATTTTATACACAAATAATATAATGTACACACACAAACAGTTATTAATATGTTTTAGAGGTTATAGTACAATAGTAATTTTTAAATTTTTAAAAATTCAAAATGTCTATAACATACAATTGTACATACAATTGATTCAATAATGATAAAAATAAAAACTAACCAATTCTTGAAGCTGACAATAAAGTTTCAAGGTGCGTACAGTCACATGTCAACACATTTCTGAGAATTTCACATTTGTTATTCCGTATCATTGAATTAAAAAATAAAGTCCAAGTTGAGTTCTAAATCAAAGTTTTTTAATTACATCTGAATGTATTATTTTCAAAGCATGCTATATTATGATAATGTTACTTAAAAAAATCAAACCTTGATATTTTGTTCTAAAAAAAATAATTGTACACAGTCTACTGGAAACTTCATCAAACATTCAGTCAAATATGGATATAATCTATTACACAACTCAACATTTAAAGTATTTTGATTCAAAATAAATTCACAAATTTCTTTAATATGGAAAAAATGTGTTTCTGTTATTTGACTAATTATTTGTAAAATTTTCTCTAAACTAAGTTCAAGTTCATACATGGTTGTTCCTAAAACAAAAATTGTATTAAAAGGCATGTATTATGGTTCATTTAGCAATTTTAATTCTTGATATATTAAAGTGTATTTTCAAAAATTAAAATAAGAATAATAATTATTACTATTATTTCCTTACTATGATTACAAAGTTTCTGATTATTCCATAAATATTGAAATGAATTTAATAAAGTTGTACAAAACATCTGATTTGGACCAGATGGAAATAATTTTGTTACATAAAAAATGTAATTGATATTTATTAATGTAACCATTTCTGGGTCTTGAAACAGATCATTATAATATAATAATAATTTATCCACCTAAACAAAAATTGAATTTAGTTAAACTACAAAGGTACTTTCAAACAAACTTTCATTTAATTTATTTTACCATTTTTAATTCTATGATCAGATTTATACTACGAGATTTTAAACATTGGTACACTATTTCTTGCATTTTAATATCAGAACTCATTAATGCGTTTAAAAATATTTCAAATATTAAAATATTATCTGAATTTTCCATAAAACTTGAACAGTGTACTAAAACTTCCATGGCTGTTTGACGAAATTCAAATAACTGAGTAGATGTTAAACATTTCAACATCTTTATTGAACTAATTTCTTTATTATCACCTTTGCATACAATATTGATTATATTGAAATAAAATAAATTTATTTTATTTAAAATGTCTATGATAAAAAAATAAATAAATACAAATGAGAATTACAATTTAAAAATATTATTACATAGTCAAATCTGTATAAATAACTTACCAAATTGTTCAGTAGGAATAGAATGCAATGCACAAAATATGTGCCCTTTCATCATACCAATTTGAGATTTAAATGTATAAGTATCAAATAGTCGATTTCCCGGAATTGCTAGTTGAATTTGCTTATGGTATGGCTTTAAAATATCCGAAACCGTTTTTTGTTGTTGTTTTGCCATTAAATTAATAATTTTTATGGACTGTAAAAAAATTAGAATCAGTATAGACATCAAATATAATACTTGTAAATGCACTTGAAAAAAAAATGTAAAATATAATATAATTTACGTTTTAACTTATGATAACTTATTACTACCAGGAACTTAAAAAGTAAAAGTATTTTCATATTTAAAAAATTTAAAACCTGTTCTCTGATCAAATCGTTTGGGCCAGTTATGTAATCAGTAATCTCCATTAAAATAGTGTCCTGTATCAAATCATGTGATGGATTATTTGGTTTAACCCAGTAAAGCCAGTTTAGCATGTTTTCTAAATTACTTTTGGCAATTGTTAGAGTACCAAATGTCAACTAAAATGTACATAATTCAGTTATAAATATATTTATAACATTAATAAAATATAAATTATTAAGAATAATACATGTGTGTTATAATCGAAAAATATGAACAGCGTGGCTCTAAATGTATTATTAAAATGTTTAATAAACCAATTGGAATAATCGTTAGCCTCAGTATCTTCTTTTAGTAAATTTGAAAACAAAGTTTGTAGTCCCAAGCAACCTCCGCGTTTTTGAATCCAACTTAAATCATAGCAAAGTTCACAAAATTGCCTGAACATGTAAGTAATAAAAGGAAAATACACCACCTAAAATAGCAATATATTCGTTATTAAGATTAAAATAAATATAGTTTATAATTATATTAAATAACTAATACATACATTATCTCCTAGGATATTGCGCGATTCTCTTAAGATAAATTCTGTAGCTTTTACACCAAAATGAAAAATATTTTCTTTTTCATTTGATAATACTGCACAAATAGCATCAGCTATAATATAAGGGTTAACTTCTAAAATGTATCCATACGAAATATCGCTAAAGTGGCATATGGAAATATATATAATTCTTTTGAAGAATTCGTTAAAAAATTGTAAAGCGTCCCCTTTCAAATATTCATCGTCACAGCAAATCATTAAACCTTAATAGCAAATATTAATAAACTTAATAAATTACAAAATAAAGCCAATCCTCTGTTAACTTGAACATCAATCACTATAAATGATGTATTAAAAATATATTCTAACAACCAAAGTATTTTTTTTTTTTGTCAAATCAACATTTTCGAAGATTAAATTATTTTTCAATTTCCTTAAATATCAAACTACCAAGAGGTGACTAAATATTAAAATCAACAACAAAATAAGTTATAATGTATGATATTTAAAGAAAAAATAAAATTTGTAATTACCAGTTAATGCTTTAATATATGTTTCATCAGTAATAGTATTAGTATATTGTAACTCATTATCTGCAAACTTTTTTATCAATGCTTCCAATCTGAAATTTACAAATAATTTCCATATAAAATAATATTTCAATTGTTAGAAAAATAAGTGCTTATAAATATATTTTATTAGTAATAGCTTCTAACGTACATAATATGCCTCAGAACAAAAATAATTTCTACTTAATAACATTAATGATAATAAGCTAAAAAATTATAGGGTTTAGATTTTTTCTTATGCTTAAAATTGATATAGTTAAATATAACAAACTTGTGTAATTTAATAACCGGCTTATAAACTTAATCAAATGAAGCATATTTCATGGACTTTTCAATCAAGAGACAAGTGAATAATTCCTAACTTAATATAATTTGCAAGCATAAAATCATTCATATTATTATATGTCAAATGTTATTTTATTTTAATAAAAGTTAATTAACAAAAGATTAATACTCCACAACATACAAAAAGTTTATTTTATCTTATATAAATCAATATTAAATAATATGGTTGTAAGATATATTGATTGTACTGTAATATATTGCATGTATTGCATGCATATTTTATAAATGAATATTTCAGTTCAGAATCCAATATTAACCAATGTTTTAAAGGTTTATACCTAGTCATATTAATTCTTCAAATAAAAGATCTGAATATATATAATCGTATTTTATAAATTCTTTAATTAATATTAATTTAATACGAAAGACTAGGATGAGAAGGTAAAAATTGAATTCTGAAAACATCACTAAATTAAGAGGCCCGGTACCAGTTATTCAAATTCAATAAAATTTTACATTTTAGTTGCCACCTCAATTGTAATACTTTTCCACTAATCTACTACCCGATATCTATTTATAAAAAAATTACTTCACGGGAATAACTCTCAGGCTTTGTAGAATCGTCTGATTTTGATGACTATTTTTTTATATAAAAGAAGAAGACTTCCTATAGCCCTCATCGGCCTCTGATTTTGTATTTGATTTCAAATTATTGTATTAAAAAAATTGTAAAAAATTCTTTTTATCTTGTATTTTTTAGACATATTATTAAGTTTGGGAACAAAATATTGAAAAACAAAGATCGATGAGGGCTGTAGAATATTTCACTCAAGCAGTTAAAAAAAAAAATTATGAAATTTGGTTGATTCTACAAGGCGGTATCGTTATTCCCGCACAGTGTACTTTTGAGGACAAAATGGCATCGGCAAAAGGGCGCCATATAGGATGGTGACATACATTGCAGACCAAAATAGTGATCTTTTTCATAAATATTATATATATTAGTTATTATATTTACAAAAGAATACTTTAAAAACATAATAAAATGCTAATTATAATACTTGATATTTGACAGTAATTGTAAAACTCTATTAGAATCATATTCCATTGATATCACTAGATAACCTCTTATAACATTCCAACTTTGTAATCTATTGAATCTATCATTGTCCAAGATTAATATTTGGACAGCAGTATGCACACCCTGTAACACATTAATAAATTTAAATACAATAATAAAATAATTTACAATTTAATTGAATGAAGTTGATAAATGTTAATGAATATTGATTAAATAAAATCTGGAAAAATTATGGTAAGTTAATTTATAATTAATTTTAGTCCAAATGCTTAATTTAATATACTATGGTTTATGGCAATTATCAAATGTATTACAGTACAATACTAAAATCCGCTTATAACAATCTTCAAGGGACTTAGGAAATCAGATTGTTATATCCCTAGTTCATAACATGGGGATGACAAAAACATACTGAATGTGAGATATAAAACCAACCAAGTATATGGCTGGGAAATGCTTTATCAGGAATATCATTATAAACGCCATCGTAATAAACAAATTCTACTGTATATGTATAAATTGAACTTATTCAAATAATTTAAAATTATCTTTCGTACAACTATAATACCTATACTAACTATAGTTATATTTTTAAAGTTGAAATATTATAGTATTGAACTTGACTCAAAATATATAATTTAATTTAAAAATAAAATCATGTGTTATCACATTTATATTGTATGTGATTAAAGGACAACCAAAACCTATTTCTTAATATAATTGTTAAATTTTATTTAATCATTATTTTTTACTTACAGGTGCAACATCCATTTCCAATTCAGTATTATCGTAGTCATCAAACGTAACATATATTTTAGGTTTCTTAGAATTAACTTTATGAAATTGTTCTTGAGCTTTAAGTTGGTCTATATTCATAACTGAACTTCGATTGAGACCTCCAAACTTTCCAAGTAAACTTTAATAAATAAAATAAATTTTTATGTTAATAGTAATAACTTAAACTAAATATTTTCTGAGCAATTAAATTCACCTAACAGCTGGCAGTGAAATAGATTCATATGGACTTTGTATACAATCACATAATCCTTTCATGATTTCATTTCGAACAGGAAGAATAGGCGTATCTAAAAACTGAACTGGCAAGATATCTAAACACTTTTCTAACATACCAAGGCCCTATATAAAATTATATAAAAAAAATGAAATATGTTAACAAATAAATTAAAATAATTATATAAATAATTATTTAAGCACTTCAATTTTAAATCTTAAATGTTAAAATCTTTGTTATTTTAAATTTTTTATGTCATATTTAGTAAATGAAAATTAATAATCAAATGAATATTTTGACTTTGTTAGTAAACTGACTGTGTCGGATAAATGAAAAATTGCTGACTCGAGAGAAAATTAATTCTTGGGAAAATTAAATGTTTTATGACTCTAAGTAATTTTACAACTCCACTTCCTTATATACATTTTTGAAAAGTAAAGTAATGTAATTTTACAACTACACTTCTCTAAACTTTATACAACATAAATGTGTACACATAATTTAATATAACTATTTTATCAAGTACAGAAGTTTAGCAGTTTAAAAAGTATTGGAAATTATAATTTATAATACAAAAAAGAAACCAAGAAATTAAAATTAAAAATATTGTTTAAAATATCAAGTTTTTGTTTATGAATTGTTAATATCACCTTGCATAAATTAATATTGTTTAATTATGTACATTTTCAGTCATTTAAAAAAATTTAATATTGATTTAAAAAGTTTATTCAGAATGGAAAGTGTTTTTTTTAGATGGAATCGAAAATAAACATTGACCAATATCAATGTCTTATTCTTATCATAGATATTATACTAATAATTAAATAATTTTCATAATATAAAAAATATATAATACATATAAATGTATATATCTAATATACAATGAAATATATTAACATAGATTAAATAATATATTATGTACATACTTGTGGAGTTAGCTTAGGTATTTGTAATGAATAAGCAATTACTGACAATAGATCCATTATATGAGAATGAAGAACCACTTTAAACATACACTCAGTCAAACATAACTCTGCAAGCGCAACTTTTGTTTCAACCAAATCACTTGTTAAACTTTTGTGGTATGAAAGTAAATCTGTACAACAATAAAAATCAATTATTTATCAAAATGATTTAGGCAATGAAGCAAAGTAAAAATAATGTTCAGAAGATGCTGTAGTTGCAAAAAAACATATATTAATTGGAATTTATTGAAATAACGCTCAATAGAAAGTACAATCAATGTTATTCAAGATTGAGCATTTGTTATTTTACATTTATCTATTTGTAAAAATAGTTAACTAATAAAAGATTGACAACATCTCTAAATTAATGTTTTTTTCTTTAAAATTAAAACTATTCCACTTTCTAAAACAAAAAGATAATAATTTTAAGCAAACTTTAATCCTATAAATTATCTAAACATTTTAGAATTTAAACATTACAGTAAGTAAATTAACAGTTACACAGTAAATAATTTTTTTGAAAAAAATATAATTTTATTTAAATCAAGGCTATAAAGTACTTAATTACTATTCTGTGTACAAAGTATTTAAAGTATGTGTTCATACTAAATATTTAAGCTGAAACCTTAGCTTTAAGTGGGATTTTTGATAAGGGAAAGGGAGTACCAAAATACTATTGATACTATTACGTTGACCATTGTTTTTATAGTCCATAGATAGCACAATGTAAACAGATATAGTGAACCTAGCAGATGACAACAATTAATAGCTTCCAATATTAACAATAGGATGGCTTATCTATATATTATAAAACCAATGCTATTACTACTAATTTTACAAAAGTTTTAAATTATTAACTCTTTTGGTAAGTGCATGCGCAAGGCAGCAAATTTTTTTTTAAATGCCATTACCAATATTTCTCTACAAATTGTATATTCTTAATTTTACTTTCAAGATAAATAAAATAAATAATTTAGGGTAATGATAATCATAAAATTGAAAATTGTATTATTTAATAAACTTTGGTGTTTATTAAAGTCATATCTGTGAACAAATAGTAATTTAAAGATATTGGAAATATTGCGAGTATAAAATGAACATGTTTAAATATTGTCAAAAAACAGAGATTATTCATACATTAGACATTATTATTAAACTTTGTCAATTTTATAATGAAAAAAAATATTTTTTGAAGGAAATTAATTTAAATATTTTAGATAATATTCTCATGTTGTGTATTTTGGTTTTTTCTTAAACCTCCAAAATATCCTATTTCAATTCAAAGTCATCCTGCTAAAAAATATTGAGTGGTATCTCTTGGCAGTATTTTTTTTTTTTTTTTTAATATTTTAATTGTAAAGCGAGTGATGAGAAAATGATGTAAAATCAATTTACAATTTTAAAACACTCATAACTTCTTTTAAAATTAAAATATTAAAAAAAAAAAAATCTATGAGTTTCAATAGATAATATTCTTACTTTTAAATATGATAATAGGTTAATTTTATCTTATACTAAGGGCCAGTTGTACCATCTCCGATTAAAGTTAACCCGACTTTAATTGGCCGAATTTGCCACGTTAAATATCTGTTATCAGCTGATTAAGCGTAATTGAAGTTTAACCGTGGACGGTACAACTGGCCCTAAGTATAATTTGCCATATTATGCCTTTGTAAGTCAAAGTATTATCGAGTCCTTCAATCAAGTTTTTAAAAGTAGTGAAATAATAAATAAGTTATAATACCGTCAAATAGACATCTAATTACTGAATACATATTTTCTCCAAATTCATAACTTGCTATTTCGACAATAATTAGCATTGTTTTCAATATTCCAATAAAAAAGACAGGATGTTTTGTATCTTGTAGACTATTCTTCAATCTATAAAATAATTTTAAGTAGTAACATTAAAGTAACCATCATACTAAAACAATGAGCACATGTAAAAGTATTTTTATTTTTAATAACTAATTAATTATGTATTTATAATAAATTACGCTTGAATAATTTTATAAACGTATTCATCATGTTTATCATCACTATGATTTAGTTTGACATTTAGCTGAATCTTATCAATCAAGTCAGATATACGTGATTTTTCATTTTCATCAAATAGATTGTTTAATATATAATCAAATATTAAGCTGCTAAAAATAGAAACTAGAACTTCATCCTTCAGTGCCATTTCGAAGACTAATATTTCTAGATTATTAGCATAAATCTGTTTAACTAAATGATCCCCTGTGATCAATGTCATTAGATGATTTGGACTGATACACGAAAGCTGAAAAATAATTAAATATTAAATGCATTACCACAGATATATTATGTCATTAAAATAAAATATTGGAGAATTTGAAATAAAAGAAGTAAAACTAATCATTAATGCAAGAATATGAAAGCATTAATATTAAATACTAATATAGCCAACCATATTTTTTTTTAACTATAGCTTTAACTATAGTTAGTAGAAACTATAAATTATAATTTTAAAGAATCTAGATTAAAAAAAACGAAATGGTAAAAATGTCTAGGAAAAAATTGCATACTGTAAAGTCTATAATAATATAATTTTAACATACCTTAAATTTAACTAAAGGAATTATAAATGTAAACTTTTATTTTAACTTTATGTTAGATATACAAGTAACAGGTTATTATACAAACAATTAGACTCAGAATCAACAATTAAAGTAATAATATGGTACCTTTGATAACTTATAGGTATTTTTTGCAAAAATGTTACTTTATTTAAAATAATACTGGGTGAATTAGTTCATTTTCACGAAATAAGCCTTTTTAATAACATTTTTTTTATGGCCATTATTACCAATCATCAATTTTAATATACATATTATATTCAACTAAGTAAGGTAAATTTAATTATAAACGTGTTTTTATCACATGTTTTAAAAAATATCAAACATTTTTGATTTTGATAATTTAAAAATAATACTATCTATACCAGTGGTTTTCGACCTGGGTACCACTTATATCTTAGTCCATGCCCGCAAGCATTCACTAAGTGTACGGTATTCTGAAAAATGTTAACTAATTCAGCCAAGAATAAAATTATAAAAATTTGTTAGCAAACCAAGCACACATTTATGATTAAATGTATATAATTATAATTCAAAACAATTTTGTTCATCTAATTATTTAGAGCTAAAAAAAAGGTCAGTGTGCCGTAAATTTTTTTTAAAGAGCAGTGTGCCGTGTTTAATAATAGTTTGAAAACCACTGATCTATACTATATTCACATTAAGATAGAACCCCTGCAACAATTTGCATCTGTTAGGCGGTGGTCAGGCAACACCCATTTGTCACCCTTCCCCCCTGACTGCTGACACAAAATTGGGTATGTTTAATGCATATTTACTAGGTTATATGTGTGAAATTTGGAGACAACACTTTAAAATATAAATAATATGCAATATATTGTTTAAAATATATTTACTTACAGCATTAAGTATTTCTTTGACCATTTCTTTTTTTTGCAATGAGCAATCAAAAATTTTTAATGACAATAATGAATGATTTAAGAAATGATTAAATGTTTTCTTGTAATGACGGTGAATTGAAAATTTTTCTCCTTCAATTTTAACCTAAATTTATTTAGTGATTATTAATTTTATTTTTAAATCAAGATTTAAAAATGTAATTACAATAAATTGGAAAACTGTTCTAATTGCTGGAAAAATTATTTTTATAAATCGTTTAGAATCTGCCAAAGAATAAGGAGCTATTTGTGATGGATGATAACCATACTTAAACTCCATTTTTTCTTTTGATTGTTTTTCTGAAAAATATAATATTTGTTATATAATATTATGTATGTAAATAAATATATCTGCAAAAATCAAAACGTCATTCATTTATTTTAACGTTATAAGAGAATATTAAAATATATAAATATATATACCGAAGTATAGTTTATACTTTTTTAAGAGGACGTAATACAGGCATTTGTTGTCTCCATCTTATAAGAGTGTAAGAGTATATCTGGCAAATTTAAGCTCATCAGATTACTTTTAGCTGTTATTTAAAAAATTAGAGTGAATCTACTTACTGTGCTAGATATAAAGCTATAAGCTATATTATCATATAAGTTTTTTTTTACAATAGTTCAATTTTTGAGCAAGTGTTAAAATATAGCGTTAATTGATTCTCATAACTCACTCAAAAACTTAACTATCGTTAAAAACCCACATACAAACACAGATAATGTTCTTAGAATCAAGTTTTATTTTTAATTTTATGTCAATTCACAGCAATTTTTAAACTAACAAAGTTAAAAGTGATATGCCGAGCGTAAATATGGTATGTTAAGCACTTGTAAGACAGACAACAAATGTCCGTGTAACGTCCCTTTAATATGAGAGAATATATTATTATTAAAAATATAATAAAATGGTAATCTATATAATTTTTGGGCACCTCAGTGGCTTTATTAAGCGAATAAATAAATTTACAGAAAAATTACAAAATATCTATATCAAAAAATAATAAAATAAACTATTATATTAAAATAATTCCACCTAGTTCACACCAAAATGTGGATATCGGTAAATTAAATTAAGCAATAATAACCATTAAGAAATATTGAATAAAGTATTAATATTAAAATTTTAACCTTTATTAAATTATAAACAAGAAAATACGATTGAAAGTAAATTGTAAATACATAGTTCAATATAAAAAATTAAACCATTTGTTAAAAATCTAAAGCACTCTATTATACAATGTATTTCACAAAAACAATATGTAACTTAGAATATTATATTTTATCATACCTGCCAAAATAGATGAAATGGTTTCATTAACATTCTCTTTAGAAATGCTAATCCTAAAATATTACAAATAATTAAATTAAATAAATAATTATAATTAATAACATATTATATAAATACTTAATAAAAATATTACTCATTTAATTGTGGTAAATAAAACTTTTGAAACTGCTTCAACTTTAAAACAAAAATTTGAAATACTCGATAAAATAAATCTATTAAAGGACTCTTATCTTTTTCAATTAAATTTAAGTTTGTAATCGACTGATTTTGTCGTTGAACAATGTAACTTAATACATTCATGACCATGTTACACAAATTTATTTGAAATCTAAAAAATAAATAGATATTAATCATAAGTGTATCTGAATAAAACAAAAAACTTATGTCACATTATTTACATGATAAAACTACATTTAGTATTAATTTGCAAAATATTTGTATAGTACACGTACATTTACAAATGATTCCACAAAACTAAAGCAATATTATTTAAAACTTATGAATTAAATATATTTTGATCTATTAGTAGCAGATTTATGGCTCTATGAAATTTTAAATCAAATTAGTTTGAATCTAAAATATGTTTATGTGTGAATACATCTTAAAGTTGTTTATTTTATTTTACTAATATTTAATATATAAGATATTTTAATTAAATACAGTAATTTGTAATAGAAAATGTCGAGGAAAATGTGTATACAATTTAAAAAAAAAAAATTAATATTTTAATATTTAACTGTATTAATATACTTTAATAACTTACTCAGGTTGTAGAGTAGGATCTAGTAAATTAGAAAAATGTAAATGAATTACACGAACTAGAAAATTCAATGATAATTGACTGTGTAAATGTGTGATAAGATGATCAATATAAATATAAGCTTTAGGTCTTAATGAAGATTTTGATGACCAACTTCTTCCAGTGATTAAAGTCTCATCTAAAAATTTATCCATGTAAGGTAAAAATTCTATAAAAAAAAAGTTATGACAATTAAAGATAATTTTTACTCAAGATAGTCAAACATTTTATCCGAACATACCATGTTTATAATCATTAAGTACAACACTTTCAAACCCAGAAAGCAATTCTGAACGAATGTTACTAATATCTGATGCTACATTACAGTTCATTAAACTTATAATTCTACCAGGCAATGTAGGACAATGTATACGAACTCCATCCTTAATACCTTTTACAAATGGTGAAAAAAAAAACAATAATCTCACTTGAGCATGTTTTAAATCTAATACTAAATCTCTGTGGTCTGGTCTGAAACATAATTAAAAACATAAAATAAATATAACTCTTGTAAATTAATATTCATCATAAAAATTGTAATGTTAATTACTTATAGGGAATATCCAAATTAAAAAAGCTCATGAGTACTGGTATCAATTCTAAAATGTCCTTCTTAAAAGCTGGAACTTCACTATAAAATGTATAATATGTTTTCAATAGCAACGCAAGTTCCTTTAAAACTTTAAATGATACTTTTCCCATTGGAACAAAGACATACTAAAGATAAACAAAATAAAAACTGTACATGATTTATAAAGAATTAAAAATCTTGGCTACAAATTAAGTTTATAAAATTAATAGTTAAAAGAAATTCTAAGTAAAATACTTATAATAACAATTAAAAACAAATAACATAATAAATCATATCAATTATAAGATTAAAAAATCAAACTTGTCATTTTACAATGTAAGTAATAAAATTATTTAAATTGAATTACTCATAAATAATTAATAATATAAGTAAATTATGTACGAGCAAATCTAAAATCTAAATAAATATATTTTATATAATTAAAGGAGTTTATAAAAATATGTTATATGAATATTATAACAAAATATATATATATTACCAATACTTACATTAACAGAGTTTCTTGTGACAGTTGTAGTTAAACGAATAGTAGTGATTAATACTTTTAAATCGGAAGTTTTTTGAAAATTGAAAATTTTCTCTAAACTACTAGAATTGTTATATATATCCTTAATAAGCATTAACAATCTATAAACCTAAACAAATAAATATTTACAGAATTATTCATATGATTATCTTTTACTGTTTTATAGTATTATAATACTGCTACAATTAATGTATCAGATTGATAACATTTTAAAAATGTATTTATATTTTATTTATTAATTGTATGTATATAAGTCATGAGACCAATTCTCAATATGTAATAAAACAAATCAGTAATGTCATACTGTAAAATGAACTTAATATAATAAAAAATATATATATTTTATCTAAAATAAATCATACACAACAGACCTCTGCTTTTAAAACACAATCGTATTTTGGTTTAAAAGAATTTATCAAATCCTTAAGGATCAATACACCACAAAGGACACTCTGTTCATTATCAGTTTCAACAACTTGTATGCACGACTTAAAGATGCTATGAAGATGAATTTTTAATTGTTCGTGTCTAGGGAGGACTTTATTAATTATTTGAAGTATAACCTTTCTTAATTTCTGTAAAATATACAATACAAATATGAGTTATACAGTTAAAAATATATTATATATTATTATATTTGATAGGATAGGTTTACTCCAAACCTACCACAGACAACTTTAAATACTTAATTGCATTGTTTTGTAATGCAATTATAAGCTAAATTATAAATAGGATTAATTTCAAAAATGTTTTATTATTATTTACAGTTTTCCACTTTTAAATAATACTTACAAATACATCATTGTCTGGGCTAAAAACTGGTTCAGTCGAGTTTAACAGTTTAAGTAAAACAAAAAGCATATTATCAAAGTAAATTTGTGTTCGGCAACATTCCTGAAAATCAAATTTAAAAAATATTTATTCATATTACTGTCTGATAATTATAATATTGTTTTTTGAAGTACAATTTAAGTTACCTCAATACTTTCAGATATCTTTTGTACAAGCTGCAGTTTAACCTTCATATTCACAGCAGCATTTAATATCAGAGACAAGTCCACTGGACCTGATGTCCTAGGGTGTACTATTTTACGAACTGGCTCCATATCTTAGCAATAACTGAAAAATTAAAAAAAAAATGTTAAAATATACGTTAATAAGTTAATAAACAAAGATTTTTCTTTTGTTTCATTTAAGTAGAGAAAGATGACATGATAACATTATTTTTCTGTATTTATTTATAACAATTTACAAAAAAATATTTATATCAATAAATAGTTAATTAATTTACTAAAATATTGAATAATCTTAAAAGGTATATTATAATACCAATTGTTATATACTAGATCATCCTACATAACTACATTCATGAAAAAATAATAGCACACCAATTTTTATAATTTCAGTATTAATTAAATAATTAATAATGACGTAATAATACTTCTACAAATTATATACTCAATTTTGGTAAACCATTTTCTTACTTATCAATAAAATAGTTGACTTGGACCCAACTCGATAAAAATAAAATTGATACAAGGTACCTATTATATTTAATTTATTTACACATCATATTTTTCCTATATTTTTCCCCATACACTTACTTATACCTGCCTAGTATCCATTATATGTATATTTATTATGGTTATGTAAACAGTAATATTTACATTAAAATGCCTAGTGCCCTAGTACACATACAACAAAAATTAATTAAATTCAAGCAAATATTAAAAATTGCTTTGTTTACCAACAATCAAGATAGAAAAATAATTTAAGGTTGTACATTATTCAGTTCAAATGATAGGTAGTTAAACCTATTCAGAATGTAATATCAGTAATAATAATAAAACATCTGAAATAGGTTTTACTCTTAAATTAAGATGTTAGCATTGACATGAAAGTAAAGTAAATATTTTATGTCAAACCATGAAGCCAAGTAATTAAAAGCATTAAAAAATTCTAAAAAATTTATTTTAGATGCAAGTTCCTACTAATGATGTAATTTTTATTTAACCTAACCTCTTTATACTGTCTAATGCCCAATAGTTTATAACCAGTACACACAATATTATTGTAGTTGACAATTGTGGTAGTACTAACGCTAACAAAGACGTTGCTAATTAGGATCACAAACATAGACGGTACAAATGCAATCGTGCAATAATATTATAAAATAAAAATGTATAAAACGGCATCGTCGGATTGTTTACCTTTCGTTTATTGTTCCTAAATGAAAATCGTGTAAGGCACCGTTTTGTACTGTTGTTTAGACGCCGAGGTCCGTCAACCGGACTTCATTGTTCATATGAAGACGGCAGCCTTGTGGAGAGTTCACCGTCTCAAATGTGCGACGAACTCTTGAATTCCATCGATTTTCGAATCAAACGACTTCGGTGTCAAAATTATTGTAGTTTGTACAAAATCGATTTTATTTTTTTAAATTATTCCGTAAATAATAATGATAACGCCAGTGCGACTAGGAGAAACGCGCGTACTATATTATCACCGGCGACACAAACAGGGCAACGACTATCGAACGAGTGAGTCGAAATGTCGAATGATGATCGACTATACAGTATAATATTATTATGATCGGTGGACGCGACGGCGAGCGAGTGCGTTAATGCGTTATCACTTTATCAGCAATCATATTATTATAATTGTCCCGATTTCTGATTATTATAGAACATTAATATAACATTAATACACCATTAATTGTTCTATGGTTCTATGGTTCGTTCCAACAGATTAATTAAATAATAATAATAAATAAAACGATAGCAGGCTTGGAGAATACCTATATCGTTATAATATTAATGACGGTTAACAACTCAACGTGTATAATATGTCGTAGCCACTTCGTGAAATCGAACTTTTCATGAAAAGATGACCATTTCATGAAATGGAAACGGCTATTTTACACTTCGTGAAATTCGAAAATATTTCACAAAACGGTCACTTTTTCATGAAGTGGTCACTCCAATTTAAGATCGTGATCTTTGTGTACTGAAATACAACATCTATCGCATACGTCTATAGTATGATTAAATCTATTAACCACATGCCGACGTAAAATAAAATAATTAATATAATCTGTATTCCATATGACTATTACACCTGCCTAATTGCCAGATTATCTGAAATGTGTAGATGATATTTTTGGTTTTGATAAAAGTCATAATACTAATGTCATATCAGCATTTTGGTATTACCTTGATGTTAAAGCAGTGTAGCGTTGCTATGTGGATCATTCGATCATTTCGATCACATCACATACTATTTTAAAAGGTTTTTATTCTACATGCCTCTGCGTAATGTATGAATTTAATGAAAAAACTAAGTTTTACCAAAAAATGGATAAATATTATTTTGATAAGCCTGGTAAAAACCATAACACTATACTGAACAATTGAGTCGATAAATATTTTTATTTAAATATTCACGTTAACCGACATTATTTTTATCACTTAACTTCACTTTTTTTATTCAAAAAGTTGAAAGTTACAATCAACGTAACTTTTTTTCAAAAATAATTTCAAAATCGGTCTAGAACGATTAATAAGTATTATGGGTATAATAGGTACAATGTTAATGCCTTAATGTTCTACATGGACAAAAGGTACCTATATGTATTAATTCCTGGGATCTTAAATAATATTGTTGATTATTATTTATTATCTTTAACTTTCGGAATCGTAAATAAATGATTGATTTTGTCAATTTCCTAGCCCCTTGTTTTTGTCATATTATATTGTACATTCATAAATCATAGGTAACTTATTTTAAGAACGTGGAAAATATTACTTATAATAACTAATAGGTTCGTTATGTTCGTTATAATTGCATTAATTTATTATTGTCCCTAATAACAAGTTTTTACTTTTTAGTGTAAGTACCTACTACCTATCATAATATTATGTTATTCCTTATACAAGAACTATAATTATTTAATTTGTGTTCTATTAAATGTTCTAATAAATGTCCCAATAAGTAAAAAATTGATTATAATATGAACAATATATTAATATGATATAAATAGTTATAAAATATATACCTACTAGGTATACATAATATACATTTAATTTAACTTTATAATACAATCTATACCTATGGTATTGTTGAAGTCATTATCATAAATAAGTATACTTGGTAAGTACATTAAATAAATAATAATGGATAAAGTTAATCAAACTTGACGTGTGCAATGAATTTTGTATTCCAGTACACAAAGTGAACTACCAAATTGTGAAATAAATTACACGATGTTCAATTGGAGTTTTCTTGGAGTTTTCAACATTTTCATTTTCCATTGGTTTTTAGTTTTTTTTCTAAAAATATCAATAAAATATTATTTGTTGGTTTGCGAAAGCTTGAAAATTTAATAGAAGGCTCCTAGTATATTGTTTCAAAGGCAGATGAAAAATATTAAAAATCCTTAGTCACAATTTATATTTAAAAGCATTTAAAGATCGCATTTTGACAAAATTTAACAAAATCTCGAAAATTATCAATCATTGTAATTAATAAATTATAAAATGTTCAGTTTTTATAGCTAAGGAATGAAAATTTAAAAAAAAGATTCTCATAAATAGTTGATAGTTCATACTGTAGCCAAAATCTAAAAAATATATGAGCACAGTTATTTTTTACAGACATTTTAAATTCATATTTGGACAAAATTACATATTAAAAAACCTAGAATAGGTAACTATTTTAGTTATTTTGTTGTGATTGTATAATATTATTCGTGGGTACTTCAGTGGGTTTTCACTAACTTCTAAAGTGTACTATTATATATCTATGATAGTATCACGGTTTGTTGTTGATGTATAACGCGTTATAAGTACCTAATGGATATTGTGATATGATTAATTTGGAATTTATTATAAGTACCTATTATAGGTCATTTTTATTTTAATACCATAGATATGTATATATTTATTTTATGAATATCAATAAAAATGTATTTGTTGGATAAAAAAGCTTGAAAATTTAATAGAAGGCTCCTAGTATATTGTTTCAAAAGCAGATGACAAATATTAAAAATCCTTAGTCACAGTTTTTTTTTATAAGCATTTAAAGTTCGAAGATTGACAAAATATGGAAAAATCACGAAAATTAGCAAATTATTTTGAGTTAAGAATTCGTAAAAATTTTTCTTTTTAAATCTAAGGTTTTAAAATGTAATAAAGATTCCTTATAAGATTATCTACCTTTATCATAACAAAAAATGTCTATAAAAAAGTCAAATTAAATTTTTATGAGCGTTTGAAATTCTAATTTTTACAACATTGGATATTCACTCGATTTCTCATGTAGCGATTTCCTTATTTTGTTGTAATTCAAAAACGAATAACTGTATATACATGAAAATTTCACTGAATGTTTATATTAGCATTTCCTATACACCATACAATTATGAAAATATTTTGACTCTTTTTGAGCTGTTTACGGATATTTTCAGTTTTCAATTTTTTTAGTTTTTTTTTCTATAAATATCAATAAAGTTTTATCTGTTGGGCCAAAAAGTGTAAAAATTTAATATAAGGCTCCTGATATATTTTTACAATATCGGTTGAAAAAAATTAAAAATACATAGGCACAATTTTTTTTTATAAGCATTTAAAGATCGAATTTTGACAAAATTTATCAAATTTAAAATTGAATAATTATTTTTTAGTTAAAAATGTATAAAATGTTCAACTTTTATATCTAAGGATTGAAAATTTAAAACAAGATTCCACGTAAGTAGTTAATTCTGTTACCAAAAAATCTAAAAATATACATAAGCAAATTTAATTTTTATAGTCATTTTAAGTTCAAATTTGGACGAAATTACGTAATAAAAAACCTAGAATAACTATTTTAGTTATTTTGTTGTGATCTTATAATATTATTCGTGGGCACTTGAAACTTCTAAAGTACACTATTATATATCTAAGTATTTAATTAATATTGTGATATGATTAATTTGGAATTTATTATGATTACCTATTATAGGTCATTTTTTTTAATACCATAGATAAGTATATAATATGTCTTATATAGTTATATCTAGACTGACATACCGTCTCCGCTCAGAATCGTTTTTCTTATAGATACAATGATATTATATCATTGAATTCAAATTTAATACCATCCATTATACAGTGACCCACTTGTAACCTACTGTACAGCAGAGCACCTTTTTTTTATAAGCATTTTAAGTTTAAATCTTGACTAAACACGTACCAAAATCGATTTAGTGAAAACCGATTTTGCGTAAAAATTCCTGTTTTTTTCTTAATTTATTTTTTGTTTCCCGGCACTTTAGAAGACTACTGGGAATTTTAAATGTTGACCTATACATATTTTAGATTGACTTTTGTATTATTTTAATAAACAATTCAGTATATTATATAGGACTATTGGCTAGTTCATACAATTTTTTATAAATTTATATAGCCAGTGACCTTGATATAGGTATATTTTATATTTTATTATTTTCACAGCAGGATATTCAAGCAGATTCAATAAATCCTTTTTACTATTTATAATTCATTGTTATAAGAGTAGATGCATTATAGTTAGGAAATAATATGAACAAAAAAATAACCCTAATCAACAGGAAGAATGTAACTAATTTAATTAAGTGAACTTATAACTTAATTTTGAAACAGATTATTTGGTTCCACACCATTATAATATAATAGTTATTAAGTACAATTGAATAAAAATAATAAATTATATTCATATTCCAATATAATAATATTAAATTAATTATTATTAATATAATTCTAGGTAAGACTAACTTAGTCATAGTTTTTAAACATAAATTATGCAAGACAATTTTTTTAAACATAAAATATTATACACTAATGTAAGAAATAACAAAGTCTAATGTCAACAACATACAATTTAGATAGTTTGTTTAAATATGTAAATAATATAATACACAGAGTTTACAGAGATAACTGATCAAATTAAAGGGAATATTATTTTTATGGTTAATAATAGTATAATTATAGTGATGCTATGCATTTTTTTTTTTTAATATTGAATTAGAAAATGGGGTTAAAGTTTGTTATAAGATGAATAATAATAAATAATAAAGAATAAACGTTATTAGATAGTTGATTAATTACATTTGATAGATCTTTTAGTTACATTCTGTATATTATGGATTCAATATTAATTGTTTAGATAACAATTTACATTTTAATATTATGCTTTTTAAACATAAACATTATATTTAGTTGTACATAAAAATATAATATTATTGCTTCAAATGTTTAATTGATCTTAAACATTTAACAAACTAGATATTTTTAATTTTATGCAACTTAAAAATAATATACAGAGTTTAAGTCAATTTTAATCAATAACAATTGTGTAAATAATGAATGTGAATTATCTCTGTTCTTTTAAAAGTGAATAATTCTATGACTGTTTTGATATAAGTTCTTGTTCACGTACCAACATTGATTCTTTCTGATGTTCTCTTTGTAATGCTTCTCTTTGTTTGGCCACACGCAAAACATTTGCTCTTTTCTAAATTATAATATTAGTATATTACAACATACAAATAAATAATGATTTGGTTATTTTATAATAAGAATAAACTCTTCATGTTTACTATACACTCAAACAATAATATAAAATATATTAGGTTTTAATTATAACTAACGACTTATATACATATTAAATTAAGCAAATGATGTTTCTCTATAATATTGAAAATAAATAATGAAATTTAAACAATTTTAAATATCTTAATCAAAGAAAAATGTTTTTCAATATTTGTAATTAAAATTATTTATTCATTTGTTACAATAGATATATTTTTGAGCAATGAACATCATAATACTAAGTTTAGAATACATCTGTTATAACAAATAAATTATTTGTAATTACAGTAATCATATCCATTATAGCACAAAAATTAAATGTAATAACGAACGTTAAAAAATTTTTTTTGTGGATTGACTCCTACACACTTCCATATTACGAATATATATATATATATATAAGGGGCGTAATTAGGGAGGGATTAGGGAGATAGATCCCCCCAAAAATTTTTATTACTGCTAAAATTTAAAATATATCCCCCCCCCCCAAACCAAATTCCAATTACGTCAATGATATATATATTTTAAACTTTATAAACTCATTCAATTAATGAAATGCACAATTACTAATTTTATAGAATCATACATACTACAGAAATATACTCATATACATTTAACAGTTTATGTATTGTTTGCTTTATAGTTAATTATATACATATTTTCTACTATGTTCTTGAGTGTAATAAAAATGAATATACATCAATAGCATTTTTATCATAGATACTAATATAAAATGTTGTTTAAATGTGTTTTCTTTTACTTGTTATTAGAGCACAGATTTTGTAGTAGCAAAATACTTGTAAAATTGGTTATCATTTGCATTAAAAAATAAGAATGTTTTGTTGTAATTTTTTAATTCAATGTTATAAATTATTTATTTTAGACTCTCAGGGTATAAAAAATATACTGTTTGAAATGTTGTATTGTAAAATTAAATGTATACAAAAATGCATGCATCAATAAAGCGTACTAGCTATATAGTTGATGTCAATGCTTTAATAATTGGAACTCCTTTGGCTTTTTCGTGTCTAGAATATGTATGGAATCGACTGACACTTTAATATGTTTTATATTAGAACAAATAGAAAGTTTCTAAAACACTGTATAATATGTATATAGTTAAAACTTACTTCTAATGTCACAGTTTTCTTGTGTAAAAACATTAGTTTTTTTTTTAATTCAACCAGCTGTCCATGGCAATGTTTAATGGATGAGAACTGAAAATTAATATTGTTATTGACTGAAATACTAAAAGCATAATCATATTACTTCACCATATTTTGAACTTCTGATTCATTTAATAAATTAGATAGTTCTTCATTTTCTTTGAGCATAGCATCTATAAGCGATTTTTGTTTGCCACTAAAACATTAATATGTTTAATAAATTGGAATATTTATTATGTAAAATGTTTATATTTCATTAACTAATAAATAGTAAGTAACTAATATATTTTTAATTATTTATGGAGTGTTTATATATTAAGAAGTATTGCCATCTAATACTAAATGTATCTTTATTAACAATAAAATATTATTACATATTATAATATATATATATATGTTACCGTGATTGTCCGCAATTGGTTTGTGCTGACAATCACCTAGTGAATACACCTACTAAATTGGTGAATGTTGAAAAATTTAAATAATATAGACATGCACTAGTGGATGCTGACATTTACATCAGGATTTTGACCAATGTTGACATTCACAACACGGTTTTGGTTAATGTTTTAGTATAGTACTAATACTATAGTCTATAGACGATAATATAAAATAGAAACAATATGTTTAGTTATAAATATTAATAATCAATTTTATTAATTATAATTATTATTATTAAACAATATTCTACTAGTATTATTAATTTAATTTATGATTATTTTGCCGTACAAAAATTAATATTTAAAAAAAACATATTTATATATTAATTATTTCAATATTTTATCGAAATTATCAACTTGCACAATTCCATTACAGTATTGATATATACTAGTGTTAAATAGTATGACTAGATCAATAATATCAGCATTACTAACATTCATCAATATCATTTTATAAATGTCGACATTCACCAGCATTAACGAGTTATTAATTTGCTAGTTATCGGAAAAAAATGTACTATTTCTACTGCTTATAGTAACCAATAATGCCGATCAAACATCAAACAGTATAACAATAACCAAGGTGGGTCTTAGTAGAGTTTGAAATGTTGTCACCTCACCACTGCATATTTATATAATTATTACTTATATAGGTACTTTTAATACAGATATTAAAAATGAATTATTATCACTTATATTATATACTATAATACTAAGTTATTATTTTTTTTACTTTTTTTCCGATATAGGTAGTAGGTACCTACTTGTTATTATGGATGATGGCAAGATAAAAAACCTGAGTTGCGGGGCTATAAAGTTTTTGGACACCCCGAGCGGGGATATAACAAACCAGTACCATTAAGCCCGATTAAGGTATTTAAGAGAATAAGTTGGAAACATTAAAATAATAAATTATAGTAACTAAATTAAATAATAAATACTGTGACTACAATGTTATACCACAATCAAATTGTCTCTGAGTATTTCGACTAGGTACTTACACAACTTCTTTAATTTCAGATTGAACATCTTTCAAATCTGGATTTATTTGATTTAAATAGGAGTTGATTACTATTAATCCGGGCTTTGTTTCTAAACTAATTAAAAAAATAATAAGGTTTAAGTTTTTAACGGATAAAAAAATTTACACGTAATACTTCACAATAAATTGTTCATATTTACTTCGATTCATTTATATTCCGACATTTATCATTAGGTATCATGTTTAAATCTTCCATTTTATTGAAACTAAATACTTTGTTACACTAAAAAAACTGAGTCTCAAATATAATATTACCTTGAAAAAATATACATCAGAAGGTTTAGTGATAAATCCTAATACTTTATCATATTTATCACTCAGTTAATATTATTAATTGGTGATCACTTACTGATAACCGTAAACTCTGTATGTTTAGTTGCCTATTTATGACTTATAGTGGAATTGTCCAAAATAAATAAAACCATTATACAATAATTAATATAATTAAAGAATCAAGATAAATATTGATTAAATAATATTGGTAAATAATTTTAAAATTGACTAAAAATGTATTTTTAGTTCATAATAGTTCTATAACATATGTAAATTTAAATAATGAATACATTATCTGCTTAATACATTTTTTTGTTTTTTATGCAAGGTTTAAAATTTAAATTCGGGTAACAATTATTTTTAAATTGTTATTACTTTTGAAAATATTGGCACTGAACTGCCAACTTTAATTACATTAAAACATACCATTCCAAAGCAGACAGTTGATACATAATTACAAAATATTTATTGTACACACTACACAGTTTTTAAGACTTAACAGTTTATCTATAACCTACTTATACAGTTATTGAGTTATACCATACCTTCCTTTAAAATTTGAGCTGTTACCCATTTATCTATCAATAATTAAAACATTTGGATGTAGAATTGAAATATGTACAACCATGTGTCAAAGGCGTCTATAAGACTTTTTATATATTTACCAACCTGTGTGTTGTACGTTAAAGTAAAACTAGTTCTTATAATTTTACAGAAATGTATCTAAGTACATTGGTATATTAGAAAAACGTTTGTATTAGGTACTTATGGGGAATTTACATACAGTTATTAACTATTATTATTTATTTTTGTAAACAGTAATTTTGTAAATTTTAATTTACCTACATGGCTACATAATAATATGTTTTTAAAATGGAAAAATTCACTCTCTTCTCGGTGAAGGTCCATGAAACACCGTGTAATGCAGTGCCACAACAATAAGTTATTATTCGAAATCAAATAAGAAAATCAAATGGAAAATGTACCTTGTATAATAGATTGATCTTATTTGAATATTATTCAAAAAACAAATAATTCAAGAATTGACATTTTAGATTCTGCCCACTTGTAACCTACTGTAAGCAGAGCACTTTTAGATTCTGAGCGGAGCGATGAATGTATTGGTTTTACAATGTTGTATGTTTTTATATTTTTTTATTTTTTTTTGTGTCTGTCATCACGTTTTAGGACAGTAAAAGGAAAAACGGGAATTTTTAAGCAAAATTGGTTTTCCAAAAAATCGCTTTTGGTTATTGGTGTAACTCTAAAACAAATGAACGTATATACATGAAATTTTCACTGGTTGTTTATATTTGCATTTTATATACACGATAACCTTTTCAAAATATTTTGATTTATTTTGAACTGTTTAGGGACATTTTCATTTTCCATTTTTTTTTTAGTTTTTTTTCTAAAAATATCAATAAAATTTTATTTGATGGTTGCGAAAGCTTTAAAATTTAATAGAAGGCTCCTAATATATTGTTTCAAAGGCAGATGAAAAATATTAAAAATCCTTAGTCACAATTTTTTTTTATAAGCATTTAAAGTTCAAAAATTGACAAAATATGGAAAAATCACGAAAATTAGCAAATTATTTTGAGTTAAGAATTCCTAAAAATTTTTCTTTTTAAATCTAAGATTTGAAAATGAAACACAAGATTCCTTATAAGATTATCTACCTTTATCAATAAAAAAATCTCTACCGGACAGTCAAGTTAAATTTTTATGAGCGTTTGAAATTCAAATTTTTACAACATTGGATTTTCACTCGATTACTCATGTAGCGATTTCCTTATTTTGTTGCAATTCAAAAACGAAAAACTGTAGATACATGAAAATTTCACTGAATGTTTAAATTAGCATTTTCTATACACCATACAATTTTGAAAATATTTTGACTCTTTTTGAGCTGTTTATGGACATTTACAGCTTTCAATTTTTTTTAGTTTTTTTTTCTATAAATATCAATAAAGTTTTATCTGTTGGGCCAAAAAGTGTAAAAATGTAATACAAGGCTCCTGATATATTGTTACAATAGCAGTTGAAAAATATTAAAAATACATAGGCACAGTTTTTTTTTATAAGCATTTAAAGATCAAATTTTGACAAAATTTATCAAAATCTCGAAAATTATCAATCATTGTAATTAATAAATTATAAAATGTTCAGTTTTTATAGCTAAGGATTACAAATTCAACACAAAGGTTCTCATAAATAGTTCATACTATAACCAAAAATCTAAAAAATATATGAACACACTTATTTTTTACAGTCATTTTAAATTCAAATTTGGACGAAATTACATATTAAAAAACCTAGAATAACTATTTTAGTTATTTTGTTGTGATTGAATAATATTATTCGTGGGTACTTGAAACTTCTAAAGTGAACTATTATATATCTGTGATAGTATCATGGTTTTTGTTGATGTATAACGCGTTACCAGTGCCTAATGGATATTGTGATATGATTAATTTGGAATTTAATATAGGTACCTATTATAGGTCAATTTTTTGTTTAATACCATAGATATGTATATAATATGTCTTATACTTAGACTGACATACCGTCACCGCTCAGGATCGTTTTTCTTATACAATGATATTATATCATTGAATTCAAATTTAATACCATCCATTATACAGTGACCCACTTGTAACCTACTGTACAGCAGAGCGACACCCACTTGCCCACCTTTTTTTCTTTGTTGTTTCTGTGTACACGATAGGTAGTCGAAATAATGCTTCGATTTTCAACTTCAGTATCTTGTTCGTTGGGAAAGTGAATATTGTTGGTGCATTGTGGAGGTCAAAATTTAAAATTCCCAGTAATTTTCAAAAGCGCCGTAAGAAGCAAAAGAAAAATTAAGAAAAAACGGGAATTTTTACACAAAATCAGTTTTCAACAAAAACGATTTTGGTTTTTTTTAGTAATTCTAAAACAAATTAACGTATATACATGAAATTTCCACTGGTCTTTTATATTTACATTTTCTATACATGATAAAATTTTCAAAATGTTTTGATTTGTTTTGAACTGTTGAGAAACATTTTCATTTTCCATTCTTTATTAGTTTTTTTTCTAAAAATATCAATAAAACTTTATTTGTTGGTTACGAAAGTTTGAAAATTTAATAGAAGGCTCCTAGTACCTATATTGTTTCAAAGGCAGATGAAAAATATTAAAAATCCTTTGTTGCAATTTTTTTTTTTAAGCATTTATAGTTCAAAAATTGACAAAATATGGAAAAATCACGAAAATTAACAAATTATTTTGAGTTAAGAATTCGTAAAAATTTTTCTTTTTAAATCTCAGATTTTGAAATGTAATACAAGATTCCATATAAGATTATCTACCTTAATCAAAAAAAAATGTCTATAAGATAGTCAAATTAAATTTTTATGAGGGTTTGAAATTCAATTTTTTACAACATTGGATATTCATTCGATTTCTCATGTAGTGATTTCCTTATTTTGTTGTGATTCTAAAACAAATTACTGTAGAAACATAAAAATTTCACTGAATGTTTATTTTATCAATTCTTATACTTGATAACATTTAAAAAAAATTTTGACTCTTTTTGAACTGTTTACGGACATTTTCAGTTTTAAATTATTTTAGTTTTATTTCTATAAATAGGTATCAATAAAGTTTTAACGGTTGGACAAAAAAGTGTAAAATTTAATACGAGGCTCCTGATATATTGTTACAATAGCAATTGAAAAATATTAAAAATACATAATATGCACAATTTTTTTTTATAAGCATTTAAAGATTGAATTTTGACAAAATTTATCAAATTTAAAATTGATAATTATTTTGTAGTTAAAAGTGTATAAAATGTTCAAATTTTATATCTAAGGATTGAAAATTTAAAACAAGATTTCACGTAAGTAGTTAATTCTATTACCAAAATATTTAAAAAATATATAAGCACAGTTTATTTTTATAGTCATTTTAATTTTAAATTTGGACGAAATTACATATTAAAAAAACCTAGAATAACTATTTTAGTTATTTTGTTGTGATTGTATAATATTAGTAATTGGTACTTGAAACTTCTAAAGTATACTACTATATATTATATTATTATCTATGATAGTATATTAGTATCACGGTTTGTTATTGATGTATAACGTGTTATAAGTAGGTACCTAATGGATATTGTGATTTGATTAATTTGTAATGTATGTACTATTAAAAAAAATCTAACAAACCTGAAATATTACTTGGTGAAAATGTAGTTCTAGAACTTAGTAAATATTTTACACACAAATTCTATTGTTTATATTTTGATAATTTTTTACTTGCGTATTCCCCTCATGAAAATTAATTTAGATATTGATTTGTTTGGTCGTAGTACGTTTCCCGTTAATAAAAAAATGTTATCCTGAGCATTTGATGAAAAAAGATCCTCTTTACAAACCAGGAGAAATAGAATTTGCCAATGTGAAGATGTAGGTAAGTGTTTGACGATGGAAAGATGGAGGTAAAAAACCCGGTTGCAGTAATAAGCAACATGCAAGATGCACCATCTACTGCAGCGGTTCCCAACCTTTTATAAGCGTGACCCCAATATTTTAAATTTAACTTTTGGCGACCCCAAAAAAAAAAAAAAAATTCATAATTTATTGTAAACTCAACATTATTTTATTTATTATCATCAAATTGGTAAATATGTATATTTGTTGATTTATCTATCTATATTCTATTCTGAAATAGGTACTTGTATAAAATGTATTATAAAAATGAATTTATTAATTTTTTCAAATGTAGGTAATATGGAATTAATTTATTATGAGCAAAAATATAAATTATATACCTGTTACTATACGCTATGCGGGTACGACCACGCACAGCCTGCGACAGATCATTTAGATAATCTATTTCAAATTATTTTTTCCTCGATCATTATAATTC